ATCAGATACCCACATAAATTATTTAGCACAGGGTCTGGCACATGGTGAGTGCTCAGTCAAGGAAAGTGGCTGTTATTATTTTTAGTCATGTTTACCTCCCACATAAGCACCTAAAGAGAGAGAGGGACGGTGTCTGTGTCTTTGAACCTCCAGACTTAGTAAAGAAATTGGTACATTATAGGTGCTCAATTAATCTGTGTTTAACTGAATTGAACATGACACATACTATGAACAGAGAAGGTTACCAACAGAGAGGAGGCCAGAGGGTAGAGAGCTAATTTCCAACTGTGGGAATCAAAAAGAAAGAAAAAAAGCTTCAGGGTTGGGCGGGGGAGGAGGGAGTGGGAGAAGGGTGGAAATCTGAGCTGGTCATTGAAATATGGGTATGATTTTGCCAGGAAGACATGGAAGGTGGCAGCGGGAGGGAGGTGTAAGTGGAGAGAGGGAGTCAGGTATGGCAGCTATCCCTGGAAAAAGGAACTCCTTTGGCCAAAGCAAAGGGCTGGGATCACAGACTCCAACTGGGGGACAGGCAGGACGAAGGTGAGCACCTGTGTGGTGGCAAAGGAGAATCACTGATCGGGAGGCGGCAGACTTCACCAGCACAGCCCAAATGGGCTCTTCTGGGGAAGCTGAGGGGTGCCAGTTCCGGGGAAGGAACACAGCCACCCCGACCCACGCATGGCCCCTAGGGTGGCAACACAGCCCCGGAAGGATGTTGTCACACATAAGCATAAGAGAGAAAAAGGTCCTGGCCATTCGGCTAAGAGCAACCGTCATTCATTTGACAAATGGTCACTCCATACCTGCCATATGCACGTGCTGTGCCAGGCACAGGGACAAAACAAAACAGGACTCTGGCCTCCTGGAGCTTCTGCTCTAGTATGGAGACACTCAACAGGCCAATAAGCAATTAAATATATTTAACTACAATGTCCGGTGGCAATAAGGCTATGAAGGAAAATAAAGGTGGATAACCATGGGGCAGGGCTGGGGCTGCCATCTTAGATAAGGTGGACAAGGAAGCAGTCTCTGATGAGATGACATTTTCGCAGAGGGAGGAAGGAGGTAAGGGAGCAAGCCATGTAGTGACCTAGGGGAGGGGTTTCTTGGGTGGAGGGAGCAGGAATGCAAAGGTCCCAAAGTGGAAAGGATCTTGGTTCACTCAAGGAGGAGCAAGCAGGCCTAAGTGGCTGGGACAGGTAGGCAGAGGGCAGCACGGCAGGAAGGACGCCAGCAAGGGGACAGGGACAGATTCCACAGGCCATGGTAAGGGATGTGGGCTGACCTTCCTGACTGCAATGAGAGGAACTGTCTGCAGGGAGCAATGTGACTTGCTCACACACGCTGCTGTGAGGGGACTGAGGACAAAGTGGGGAGGCCATTTGCAGGCTGCTGCCAGAGTCCAGACAGGGACGGTGGTGGCTTAGACCAGGACGACAGCAATACATGTCGTGAGAAGTGACTGAATATGTGATACAGTCTGAAGATGGAGGCCACAGGACCAGCCGACCTCTCACAATAGGATGTGATAGGAAGAGAGCTCCAGGTGGACCCCTAGAGCTGTGCGGTAGATTTCTTTCTCTCAGTGAGTTCACGCATGAGTCAGGGATACATGTGACTGGAGAGCGACAACAGCTAACGCCTAGTCCCCTCCCCCAAGGAAATGGATGACAATAAGCTGCAGGTGTGGTCTGCCTACCACCTAGGGCCACACGCCCAGGGTGCAGCAGGCACAGGTGCACCAGAAGGACACGTGGCAGAGCCTTGGAACACACATGTCCTAAGAGGCTGCCCACTTCTAATCCGGGGCAGGTTTACTCAGCAGGGCTGCAAAAAAGTCTGTGGCACCTCTGCCGAAAATCAGACCACCAGCCAGGCTGGGCACGGGTCCTGGTGAAGGAGATAGCTGCAGGGGGTGTGTCTGGACACACACAGCCCTTGCCTCGGGAGTCTAACCTAAGCTTTTGGTGGGGGGTGCCCTGTGATCATCATGGAACATCCATGAACAGGGACTTTGGTTCTCTATTTTTATAAAGGAAAAAGAAAATGAAAGCAAGGTGGCGGCGGGGGGGGGGGGGGGGGCTTCAGTTCGGATGCAGAGCCCTTGTCGGACACCAGGCACTTGACACAGAAAACACTCCCCACACCCCACACCCATGCTGGCTGCAGACGACTGTGATGGGACCAGACATGAAGGCGCCCCCGTGGCTCTCTAATGGCATCTTGTTGTTCAGACTTGACTCTTGTTCATCAAGAGCCAAATAAAGGAGCCTCTGCTAAGAACAAGCCAGAAGCCTGGCTCCCTTCCATCGCACAGCCGATATCAAGAACAAAGGTCGTGGACACCTTCCATAGGGCTGCCGCTGGCTCTCTTTTGATTTGTCTTTTAAAGAGAGGGAGAGGAAACGGACCCCTGTTTTGGTGAGCAAATCACAGTCGTGCAAACAGCGCCGGTTTTGAGGGTGCACAGAGCACTCCCCTATTTCAGTGACTTTGACTTTCAGGAAAGGTTTTCCTCTGCATTATGCTTTTATCAGATTGGTTCTCACCCCAGAAGTAATGCTCTGAAGAAGCTGGGGAGAAAAATCCCACTGTGCTATTCTGAAGAATACGAATTCTATGAATTTGAGAAGGAACAACAAAAGAAAGAAAAGACGTCTCACATTTTAAGGGTATGTTCAGGCGCCCTAAGAACTCAGCCGGCTCATAAATGACTTCATTTGAAAACTTTCTGCTTGCAATTCAGGCATCCTTCAATGAGAAATATGTGATCTGCCAAACATGAAATGGAATCATTAAGCCCTGACAAAATCGGAGGCAACGTAACACTATGGCTGCGTGTGCCCCGTGTTTCCTCCTCCTTAACAAATTAGGGATCCCTGTGGATGGCATTCCAGACGGAGGCTAGCATGGGGTTCCGCCTGGAAAAGGGATGCACATTGATCATCGAAATGCAGGCAGCTCGACGATTGCAGATATTGAATTACCTACCCCGTCCTATCCCCAATGCACACACACACAGAAAAGGAACTTGCCTTTTTCTTCTAGATATCTTTGTCTTTAAAGCATTGCACCATCATGGAATAAGCTAGACACTGAACAGGGTTATTAAAACAAAATGTAGGATAAAATTGTACAGAACCATATACACATACACAAGTGCACATAAAAACTGGTGAAATATGAATAAGGTCTATAGTCTGGTTAATGGTATTAAAGCAACGTCAGTTTCCTGGTTTTGGTATTGTACAAGCGTTATGAAAGATGTCACCATTAGGGGAAGCTTGTGGAAGGAGACATGGGAATCTCTACCATTTTTGCAACTTCCTGAGACTCTATAATTATTTCAAAATGAACAGTTTTTCTTTTAAATGCCAAATGTGTTGTTTCTATGGCAAGTGGGTTCTGATCAATTATAATATGTGGTTGCACAGGCCCTTTAAGTTTTCATTCTATGCAGGGCAGTTTTGGAGTGGCCCCAGGAAACAGTCATTGCCATTGTTTCCGCCAGGTCCTTAAGTCACCTTGCCCCAAACCAGGCCTCTTAAAGACTAGGAGGTGTCAGTCACAGCGGTGGAAGGCAGTGCTGTCACAGGTCCATGGACTTCCTCCACCCCGCAACCCTGCCTGGAGGTCTGGCCACAGTAACTCTAGACCCACGTCCTGCCCGCTCTGCCCCTGCTGCACAGGCTCTCAAGCTTTGGGATGCATCAGAGCCCCGAGGATGTGTTTAAAATGCTGATTCCAGGGCCCTGTTCCCCACAGACCCTGAGTAGGTACTGGATGGGACCTGGGAATTTGCATTTGCAACAGGAGCCCTGGGTGATTCTGTGGCAATGTGTCCTAGGGCCACACTTTAGGAAACACTGCCAGACCCCAGGTGGTGCCTGGGAGCATGCCCGGGGTTGACTCCCCATTGCAGAGTAGCGAGGAGAGCTGGCAGGTGCTCAGCATCCACATAGCAAGGTGCCCCTCCAACCAGTGGAGAGAACTTCTGACCCCTTCTTCCAAGTGCACACAGCCAGAGATCTCCAACCCCCATGCCTAAGAGAGGCTGAGGAGCCTCCTGCATTGGTCCTTCGGTGGCTGTGACCATGTGGTATTTAGGATAAAATGCAGAGTTTGGACTCTATCATCATCATGGCTTCTTTTCACTGAGTGCTGATTATATGCTAAGCAAATTACACCTCATTTAATTCTCACAACACTGTTCTGAGGGAATTGTTATTTATTATCCCCATTTTACAGATAAGAAAACTGAGGCTCCAAAAGTTCCAAAATTACACAGGCAGAAAGTGGCAGAACCAGGAGTCGAACCCGGGTCTGCTTGGCTGAAAAGCCAGTGCTGCACTAAAAATAACTGCCACTTGAGGGATTTTTTTTTTTTTTTTAAAGATTGGCACCTAGGCTAACAACTGTTGCCAATCTTTCTTCCTTTTTTTTTTTTTCCTGCTTTATTCCCCACCCCCCACCCCCCATACATAGCTGTATATCTTAGCTGTAGGTCCTTCTAGTTGTGGGATGTAGGACGCCGCCTCAACGTGGCCTGACCAGCAGTGCCATGTCCACGCCTAGGATCCGAACCCTGGGCCGACGCAGCAGAGCGTGCAAACTTAACCACTCGGCCACGGAGCCCCCCCCGTCTTGAGGGATTTTTGAGGGGAGACGGGGAGAAAGATTTTCCCAACCCTTGCTTCAGTGGCATTAATACCCCTTTTCTCCTTAAAGCAGATCTAAACCTCCCAAGGCCCCGTTCCATGCCCCCTTTGTCCTTCCCACTTTCATCTTCAGTCCTTTTCTCTCCTACTCTTTCTCCTCTCCTCACCTTTTTAATTTTCCCCTTTCATCCTCAAAGTCCGAAATTACAGACGCAGTGTGTCCCTTCATTTCCCTCGCCTCCTCCACTGCTAATATAAGAGTTTTCCCCTGCCACCCTCTTATGACACAGGCTATCTGAAGAAATGCGAATTAGGTTCCCAGCAAGGCGAATGACCTACCATTTTCAAGAGGACACTGGGGAATCTTGTTTGCTCGAAGGTTCCAAATATAATCTGTGTTCCACTCAAGGCACACTTGATGATCTTTGAAAGGGCGTTCAAAAGGCGGGACGGTAGTCAGCAGAGTATAATTCGTCGCCACGGCGTATAGCAAGTTTTCCTCCCATTTAACATTTAAGTCTCCACCACTATATTTGTGAGTAATCCAGGCGCGTAGTACCACCGCGGACACCGAAATGGAATATCTGATGAAATAATCATCTCTGTAAACCATGATGCTCGGAAATTTCACGTGTACTATTTGTCTCCTGCTGGTGTGAAGGTGTTTCTCATTCTTCCACCTCTTTTTGTACACGGGAATGCTGCTTCTGAACTCAGAAGAAACGACTGCTTCCAAATTGACGACACAAGGTTGAGAGCATAAGTACTCGACCGAGACTTCAGAAACGTTGCGAACGTTTCCTTCAAAGACAGTGAAATAAATAAAGTCTTTGTAAGCCAGGCTCCGCTCAGCTTTGGGTATCACCGACGTAGTCAGGGAAGTCTGCCTGCCCAAAGACGGCACAAAATTCTGAAAAGAAAAAAATAGATATAATAAGTTTAAACATCACCATATTAACAGATATGTGCATCATTATTTTCCTGGGCTAAAAAAATATCCAGCTACATAAAGCGATGCATGCGGAAGATAAAAGATGTCGAAACTACGACAGAACAATTGGAGAAAAACCAGCATACACACAAATGAAGATTAGGTCACATTACACTCTCTCCTCAGACTCAGGAGCATCTGCTGATCGAAATGTGACTTTCAAAGCTATGTGGCAATCATTCCAGAGCTGGTTTCCAAATGGAGGAGCTAGTTCACAACAAATCCAGTAGCAGCGCACCTGCCTTAGAGGGAAAAAGAGACAATCCAGACATGCCCAAACTATGATCATAACTTCAAATCGTGGTGAGATGCAGCCAAATCAAATGGTGGGAGAAGAGTTCAAAGGGCACCTGAGAGAGAACATAACAGGGACAACAACCGTTTTGCTCCCGAAAGTGCTAAGCCAAAGCAAGCGTGAGTGATGGATGGACCAGCAGGAGCTTTCTGTCGCTCCAAATCACACACAAGCAGGCTGGGACCACAGGCTGCTGTCCGAGTCTTTTACCATGGATGGTGCTACACGGGCCAGGAAAGATTTTGCCATGTGTTTATTCATCTAGTTTTTTAAATGATGAAGATCTCTCAATGTGGACATTCCTTCCAGAAGAAATTTGGAAAGTTTGGTAGTGAAACTAAGGCAATGTTTTAAGCACAAGGCACTGAAGCATGGGTCCTAAGAGCTCTTCTGAATACAACTTCGTGATTTGGGCATCCAAAATAATAGCAAAAATGTTACTTTGGACCACTTCACATCCATTAGAATGGCTATTATCAACAACAACAACAAAAACCAGAAAGTGACAAGTATTGGACAGGATATAGAAAAACTGGAACCCTTGTGCATCGCTGGTGGGAATGTGAAACAGTGCAGCCACTGTGAAAAGCAGTACAGCACTTCCTCAAAGACTTAAACACAGAATTATCGGGGCCGCCCCGTAGCCGAGTGGTTAAGTTCGAGCGCTCCGTTTCAGCGGCCCAGGGTTTCACCGGTTCGGATCCTGGGTGCGGACATGACACCGCTCATCAGACCACGTTGAGGCGGCATCCCACATGCCACAACTAGAAGGACCCACAACTGAAAAAATATACAACTATGTATTGGGAGGATGTCGGGAGAAAAAGCAGAAAAAACAAAAAAAAGAAGATTGGCAACAGCTATTAGCTCAGGTGCCAATCTTTAAAAAAAAAAAAAAAGAATTATCATACAATCCAGCAATTCTACTTCTGCGTATATGCCCAAGAGGTGACAGCAGGCACTGGAAGAGAGCTCTTCACAGTCATACGCTCATGTTCACAGCAGCATTATTCATAATGGCTAAAATGTGGACACAACCCCAACGTCCACTGATGGGATGAACAGATAAAATGTAGTATATACAAACAAAGGAATGCTTTTTTAGCATTTTTTTTAAGGAAGGAAATTATGACACATGCTACAACATAAATGAACTTTGAGGACATGCTAAGTGAAATAAGCCAGTCACAAAAAAAACCCAAATACTCTTTGATTCCACTTACATGACTACTAGAGTAGTCAGGTTCATAGAGACAGAAAGTAGAATGGTGATGGCCAGGGGCTGGGGAAGAGGAGAACGAGGAGTTAGTGTTTAATGCGTACAGAGTTTCAGTTTTGCAAGATGAAAAGTATTCTGGAGATGGATGGTGGTGACGGTTGCACAGCAGTGTAAATGTACCTAATGTCACTGAATCATACCCCTAAAAAAGGTTAAAATCGTAAATTTTATGCTATGAATATTTTTTACCACAATTTTGAAGAAAAAGGTCACTGTAGTCTTTTCTAAAGAAGGAAGAAACAGGGACCCTGTTCTTCAGTTCTGGCCTGGGGCTGTAGGAGAGGCAGAGTGGATAAGGATCAGGAATCCTGTTTACAAATGACAGTGACACAAGACAGGACATGGCCAGTGCTCTGGTCAAACTACAAACAAGCCCGAAAGAAGCACAGCACCAGGTGAGAGCAATTCTGACTGGGGGGGTCTGGGACAGGCTTTATGGAAGAAATGGTACTTCAGTTGGGCTTTGAGGGATGAAGAGAAGTTCGTTAGGTAGAGAGGCAAAGGGGAGACACTGCAGGTGATGTGAACAGCTTAAGTAGGGCCAAGAAGGCAGGGAAACGCAGGCGTATTTGGGGACTAGCAAGCAGCTTGGTTTGGCCAGAGAATAGAAGAGGGTAAAGACACAGAAGGACATGGGGATATGAGGTTAAAAGGCAGGGTCCCGGCGCTGGAGGACACTGAATCCCAACCCAAAGAACATGCACTTGTTTTCAACTAACAACAAACTATCAATGAAGGTTTCTGCAAAAGAGGATGGTGTTTCTATTTTAAAGTACCGACAGTCATTTAGAAACAAAGCTGACAATGAAGAAAAATAAACAAACATAGTTCATTGCAAATTCTCATAGTAAGAGAAATGCAAATGGAAACTACACTGAGATACCATTTTTAACCTATTAGATTCACGGAGATTAAAAAGTCCATTAAGTCATTGTACTGGCCGCCGAGCATAGGCGAGTCTGCCCTGTTCTGTCTTGCTGGTGGGAGTGATATCCACGAAGGGCAATTGGGCAGTGTCTATCAAAAGGATCAAGCCACCCACACTCTGGGTCAATAATTCCTCTTCTAGGATTTTATCCTACAAATATACTCAAATTTATGCAAAATGATGCATGTATAGCTTTTCACTGCAGCAGTGTTTGTCATAGCAAAAGATGAAAAACTTAAATGTCTGTCAAGAGGGCTGGTGCAACAAATTATAGCACATCCACTCCTGGAGTACTACACAGCTACTAAAGTGAAGAAGAGCTTCATGTACACAGAATGAAATGATTTCCAAAGTTTGAGTTTTGGTTTTTTTAAAGCACGGTTCAGAAGTACCCGTTGGATTTTTTAAAAAAGGAAAAAATATAGACATATTTGCTTGAACACACATGGCATTGGTTAGTTGCATAAAGGATGAGGGGACCAGGAGACAGGGTAAGTGAGAGATCGGGACTGTACGTCCTTACTTATCTTTTGAATTTTGCGCTACATGAATTTTGGGGAAAAAATAGTGAGGGGAGGGGAGAAAAGCAACAGTCTAAAAGATGAAAACGGAAAATGTAGCTTCTCCCAATGGTAGAGGGAGAACAGGAGAAGGGGGGGCCATTCCTCTAGATTCGTCATGGGAAATCTGTGGGAAGAAACATGTCAAGAGCAGGGCACAGTCCAAACTGCCCATCCCTGCAGGGGGAGGCTGAATTGTTTTATGGGCTCACTTCCACTTCCAAATTACAGGGAGGGAAACACATACAAAAATAATCTTATAATTAGAAGTAGAGCATGTTAGCAGACGAGCCCTTGGTGACAAGCCGGCCCAGTCCATTTTTCAGACGAGCAAATGGCAACGGAGAGGTGACATCCTCTGACATCACCCAGCTGGTGGCTTTGCAGAGGCAAGCCCAGAAACCAGGCTCCTTTTTGTCACCCCCATTCCCACCCCATAGGCACAAGAGCGAGACGAAAGAGTTGCATTGCACAGCTGCCTGGCAACTCCAGGCTAAATTCTGCTTTCAGATGAATAGAGATACAGTCGGTGTTTGTCCACAAGTGGTGGTTTATGCATGTGGCCAGATGTGCCAAGATGTGGCCCCCTTCTCAAGATGCGAATCAAGCCATTAAGCCCACAACAGAGTTCAGCAGAAGCCAGAGATCGCTGGCACTGATGGAGGTTGGACTAGGACAGCAGCCAATGAGTGGCCAGCGCTCCTCATTCCAAATGCCCCCAGTGGTGCCCTTCCACAATTCCACCGGAAGGAGACATTGCTTATTTAGCGAGACAATAGGGAGGAGAGTCCAGGACATGCTGTGATATATTAAATATCACGTTGTGTTCCTTTTCAAAGAATGACTTAACACCTCTTCCTCTTTCTTCACATGTGTACCTCAAAACCTCACTAAGGCGCAGTCCTCCCACTTCGATTTTTTTTATCATGTTTTTATTGCTGATGCTAGGAACTCCAGTGAAAACCTTTTTTAAACAAAATGCAGGGAGAAGGGCTATTTGATTTCACTATGTTTCATTGCAAAGTGCAGTTAATAATAATGTTCCTTACTTTACATCTTATTGCTAAAAATGCACCAGCCCACTTTTCTGTGTTAATAAACACAGCATGCTGAATATGGTTTCAGTTTTGCTTATGATCCATGGTGGCCACAGGTCACATTAAACACTCATAATATGGCTGGTCCAAACTGAGATGTGCTGTTAAATGTAAAATATACACTGGATTTCCAAGATTAAATATTAAAAAAGGAGGTAAAAGATCTCATTAATAATTTTTACACTGATTACATGTTGAAACGATAATATTAGGATACAGTGAGTTAAATATATCACTGACATTAATTTCCTGTCTGTGTTCACTTTTTTAACGTGGGAACCAGAAAATCTGAAATTATATATTTTGCTCGCTTTTCTGGCTCACATCATATTTCTACTGGAGGGTGCTATTCTAGATTTGAGGTCAGCAGACTTTTCCTGACCATATGGTAAAGGACCACACAGTAAATATTTTAGGTTTTTAGGCCACTCAACGTCTATCGCAACTACTCAACTCTGCCGTGGTATCGAGAAAACAGTCACAGACAACTCATAAGCAAATGAGCATGGCTGTCGTTCAGCACCGCTTTGTTTACAAAAACAGGCAGCTGCCTGGATTGACCCATGGGCCAGTTTGCTGACCGCTGTTCTAGATTATCAAACTTTTACTGTAGATAGTTTTGAAGAACACGAAGTGACAGAAGATAATGCTTTTAAAGGAATTATCATAAAGAAGAAATGAAACTAATAACCCAGTTAGGCATAATTTCATGTATGTGTAGTTGATGGGGCTAGATCTATTATTTTACTAAGGTTCCCTGGTCGCGGTGTTGACATCTTACTTTTGTTTCTTTCAATAAAGATTTAAGTAGGATAAGAAGTTGGAGCCAGGCTGGGCAAAGAGATATAATTTCACAGACTGAGAAAGATTATTTGAGAAGTGGGAGAAGCATGAGTGACAGCTAGGGTACAAGAGAAGATCAACCTCAGGGATGGAGCAATTTTTCTTAATATGACGGGGGCGTGCTGGTCCCAAGGCGGACCTCGAAATGAGCATATGTAGCTTTAGGAGCATGGTCTAAATCCCTCAAGAAGGTGTTAACCATCTTCAGTCTTTGGGCACCTGTGCAATGTAGGAAGCTGGCATCTCGTAGGTTGGAATGGACCCAGTGGGCAGCTGCCACACCATGAATTGTGGCCACCTCTGTTATGTACAAAACCAACACCGATTAGCAACACATCACACTCTAAATATTGATTAAGCTGAAGCTGATTTCCTGGCTCAAGTCATGTGTGTGGTTATGAGCTGTTTCCTGCCAGGAAAAGAAAGCAATTAACTTGAGTTTCAGCTACAGGCGTGACACGTGTCCAACCTTCATAGGTATTTTCACATGCCAGGTTGCATTAACATGAGCTAAAAATTACCCAAACATTCCTTTGTTTAGAAATCATAAGGTCAGAGTCCGTGTCTTATTCATTTTTATGTCTCTGGCTTCTAAGATAGAGCTTGGCACACAGTAGGATTTGGTACGTGTTTCCTGTCAAAATAAAGTGCCACTAGTGGGCATTTCTGCCAGGTGCCTCAGTGGTCCATCCTAGGTCACTGCTGCACATGGTGGGGGTACCTGCACATAAACCGAAGGACTTGATCCAATCGTGAGTCCCCCCCACCTTTTCCTAACATTCACAAGTTCTTTTGTACGGAGGCCCGTGCTACTTTCTTACAAAGAGTCTTCACCCTTTGGCATCTTACTGGGCCCCTGGGGGTCAGAGCTGACCTGCGGCACTGTGAGGTCAGGGTCTGACACCCACCTGGAGTGGACTTCTCCCAGCTACCTAGTCCCTCCAGACCTTTCAGCCAATCGCACTACATTCTAGAACTTTTCCAATTCTCCACACCAAAAATACAAATTAAACTTCTAAAATTTCCTATCCCTCCACCCTCTGTTGGACTCCTGTTCATCTGGCAAGTTCATCCACGTTAATGGGATAATGAAAAAATACTGTGGTAATGTCCCATATCTGCATTTCTATGCCAGCCTGGCAGAAATAATGCCTTAAAAGCAGAGCCCAAATGCACTGCAGCTGTAAGCAAGATATCTGGGGTGTAAGGGACATTTCTGTGTCGCTCAAATTATGCCATTTAGGCAGCCACATAGATGTTCCACCTCGGAAGCTACCGATCTGTTCCGCACACAATGGAGCTGGACTCTGAAAGCTGGTGAGCCCCCAAACACCTGTTTATACCACAAGTAAGCCCTAATCAAAGTCAAATTTGACATCGTCACACACAGCCACAAAACACAGATGCCTTTGTCTTTGCGTAATTGTGTTAAGTATTGTAAATTTTTGGAACAAAGAAAGAAAGGAGTCGGTCAATGTGTGTTCATCATAAAAGACCCAAAATTGGAGACCTAAATGCATTCAATTCAGCCCGGGAATTGAAAACCAGATGAATTTATGTATCTTCTGGATGGAAAAAAAATCTATCAATACTGCCTAAACTTCTTTGAGTATGACTGCATCTGATTCCCTTAAACAAAATCAATAGGAAGAGACTCTATTCAAACAGTCCTCCCTTGTTCCAAAGGGCTGAGAACAGTTGGCTCCCTTCTCTGTACGACCCACTTGTTATTTAAGGAAGGGACAGAGAGATTGGAAAGTCTTCATCATTCATGTCTCGCTATAGGAAGTTCATTTACACTCACACGTGTATGTGGGGGCTTCAGATATGCAAACAATAAGTGACTGTCTTTCTCACTCCTGCCCATTCCACCCCATCAGTCGCCTAAAGAAACTTTGGCTCGTGAGCGCGTCCTCTCCACTCAACTGGCTGGATCAAACTTTCCATAGGTCAAAAAGGCAATTGTATTGGCTTCCAAGCCTACTTTTCCAATTTCTGCTGACTAGAAATAAGAAAAAATTCTGTTTATGTCAATAAAGCATGCAATTAAGCAGAATGGGAGATGATGTCAATATGGACTTCAAAATCAAGATGTGCCTTGGGAAACACTTCCCAGTCAACCAGCATGTCTTCCCAAACTGAGAGCTGGCCAGAGAAACACATTCATCACAATAACCATCATAGTCCTAGCTGTGCTGGGTCTTCTCGCCCACTGTAATACTATTTGATGTGCTCTTTCTTTCTAACTCAAATCATATGCAGGTCACCAAGGTTTGGTTTGGTTTGATTTCATTGAGTACCTACTGTGCGCTGGGCATTGGGACAGGTGCAGTAAGTCTTTCTTCCCACTCACTTCTAACCTCACCCTCTCACATTGAACTTACAGAACTTTTTACTTCAAACCTAATTCTCACAACAGCCCTGTAAGGGACACAACATTCCAGCTGATGAGACGGAACGGACTCCAAGACGGTAAACAACTTACCCGAGGTCAACCAGCTACTGAAAAGCAGAACCAAAATTCAAATCCATAAGTGCTGACTTTGTCAGCACTGGTGCCTTCCAGAAACACCCAAAACGATGCCCTCAACTCACCCACTTCCCTCTACAGGTGTCACCACTTTCTGGCTACAGGTGAGGGTATCTTGGGACTTTGCTCACCCCCATCTTGAAAGTGAGGGGCGGCTAAATTTCCATCATGAAGCCTTGTGTCTGGGGAGGGTAGAGATTATCCTACCCACAAACACACACACCACACTGAGCCTCAGCTTGATGAAGCCCTTCCTCAGATGAGGATGGGAGACAAACAGGAGCTGCCAAAGCAGAATTTCCTCAGCAATTCCTCACACGCTGCCTGGCCCTCCTGCCCCTCAGGTCTGCTCTCAGGGGACTGGGATGAGCCAATAAACAGGGTAACGGAATTCACTGCAGGCTATTTATGGTCTCCTCGAGTCCATGCATCTTCCCTGTGAACTGCCTGGCTTCTTCACATCTTCTCTTCTACCTTTCCTCCAGCTGCTTCCTTTCAGCCAATTCAGGGCTCCCACACCTTAGCCAACAGGAATAGAGGGCAAAAGGCAAACACCATTGCTTAGGAGATTTTAGGAGCTCTGGTTAGGATGGACGTGGAAGCCACTGACTGACGTCAAGTTTGAGGATGATCTCTATATTTCAAATACCCATAATCACTCTTGCACAAGCTGGATGATTGAGGGTCTCTGTACCCCGTTTTGATCTTAGTAGGTCCTGTGGTACACACAGAGTCAAGAATTAATGACTACCTCTAGAGGGATAACTGAAGGTCTGTGGCCACTTACAGAGAATTCTGCACAAGACTCGGTCACAGCCAATGTCTGCTAACGATCCCCACGTACATCTCTGCAGCAAATGTCCTTTTATTTCTTTGTCCTTTGATTGTCTAACAAGAAAAAACATCCACTCTGAATATTTCAGCTCTACAGCTGACATCAATACTAGCCATTGTGAGGTTTGTTTGCTCATTTAAGAAAAAATTATACATTCGAGACCAGAGTTCGGAATGGACAGAACTGCCTTGTACAAGTGCCATTGTCACAGATGGGGCTGGAGCAGCCTCGGGCTGTCCTAGCCAAGTCTAGAGGAAGGTAAGAGTTAACGATGCAAGAGAATGGCAAGGGGGTCTACTGGGCAGAGCAAGTCCTGTGTGGACCACACGACTCAGCACCAGTGACCTCAAGGGAAGTGAGTTCGTTACTGTTTGCTTTCAAGGCCCTCACCCTCTCTGAGGAGGCCCTGCATCTTGACCTTGCTGACCTCAGAATTTTCTGGCAGCTGCTGGAACCAGGGATCATCTTTTCAGAAATCTGCTTGGCATCGTTCCGTGACTTATCTTTCAGGCCTCATCACAATTATTCATGCTTTGGCAGTATCCTAGCTACAGTCACAGTACTGTTCTTGGGCTGCTACTGAAGGTTACTCTGTCCCTACCAATGGAGAAGGCAGGTGCCCACCGCCTCTGGACCCTGCCTCCAGGAAGCACGCTCCCCAGGAGGGCAGGGGCTTAAAGGCATCTGTTCAGAAAGCCACTCAACCTCCAGCCCTTGTGAACAAGCAAATAGGTGGGAACAACACAAAATGGGAATCAAGCCCCAAATCAAGGACAGTTTGGCTTTGGAATGCATGCCAAGGCACACTGGGCCCGCACTTGGACACACATTCGTACAAACTCAATGCTGAACTCTGCCAGCTGCCTCCGGACTATATAAAGATTCCATCCTTTACCTCTCCATTGCAGATGGCAAATATCTTTTGGTTTTACCTTTTTTTTTTTTTTTTCTCTTTAACATCCTGCTTCTATTCTGTGGCCTGCGCTTCCTGCTTTGTATATTTTAGGCTACTTTAGACATGACCTCACATCCTGGCCAATTGCACAGTAGCTGCTAATTGCAAGAGCTTTGCTAATGGCCCATACATCTATGCATGAGGGGAATGGGTTACAAGCAGCAAAATCCAGAAGGCAATAAGCTAGCATGGCTAAGAACTGAGGCTCTGGAAGCAGATAGATTTGGGTTTCAATCTCGGACTACCTATGTGGCCTGGGGAAGCTTACTTAACCTCTCTGAGCCTCAGTTACCTCATCTGAATGGGGATCACAATAGCTCCTATCTCACAATGTTGTTGTGAAGATTAATACTGGATAATGCATGTAAATAACTTAGCACAAAGAAACCACTACTATTAATATTATTATTTAGGCTTTCAAATTATGAGATAGCTTTCACCCTCTAGTGTCTACCTATTCCTGAGATCCTGCCTAGCTATTCGGCTCCACCTCTACCCTCCACCTGCCCACCCTCCTTCCCTTAGCAGTCACTTCCTCTAGGAAGTAGACCTTGAAGAGGAGAATGCACACTACCGTGCATTTTTTCTCAGCTGTCTCATGTTTTTCACACATTTCATGCAGATGTTTACATTTTCCCCAATGTGCACACCACACTTCTCCAAGGTCAAGAAGCCTTGCCTTTCAGCAGGATCTCAGGTATCACAGCCCTCTAGAACAAAATCCCTAGCAAATGGCTAGACTTTTAGCACCAAAAGCGAAGCCCATCTTCCAAGCCACACTTTTGCTTTCTTGGGTTTAGCAAAACCTTCTCATTCACTTGCAAAATGGCCTTCCTGTTTATCAAAGTCTTTCTTTTGCAGTGGCCTCTGAAGCTCATCTGAAGGAAGCACACACAGTCAAGAAGGACAGACATTTCCTCTCCAAGAGAGTTCCCAAGTCCATTCCTGCCCTGCCTGCCAAGACGTCCAGCCATGCTCTAGTTATTTTCCACATTACGGTATTTTCTATAATCTTTTCAGAGCCCTAGCTCCCCACTTCTCTACCTCACTCTGACCTATCCAGAGCATCATTGTCCCCCTTGCTGTGATCTCTTTTCTTAAGTCCCCCTTGGTCCATACAGAACTTTTACACTTGCTCCATCATCTGCCTCTGTTCCTACAGCTCACTAGGCCTTTAGGCTTGGCTCTCGTGACCGTGATTTCTTGGAACTGTCAAGAAGTGCTCTCTCCTTGCAAGGCCTTGGGATTTCCATGTGGAACTTTCCAGACCACCTGTAAATTACTGTTTCACACTCTACTCTACTACATAATTTCTGCCTCTGTGGGTAAACCAGCACCTTGTGGAAGTGGATCATCTGTTTAAACTGAAACCCTGTCATTTGTCATGGCAGCAGTTTTATTTATGAGCCTGTGTGCTGTAACCTTGTGGCATAAATATTAAATAATAATATCTCTTGGGTGAAAAAAAATCATTCATGCTAACCAACAACTTCTTATGAAAATATGAGGTATATTCAACCAGAAAATTTGGTACTGGCTAATTTTAAAATATGAGAAAAAGCATGGATCGCTCAACAGGTAGATGCAAAAGCAGAAATACAATTTGCATTTTTACACCCTCTTGCTTCAAGAAATGAAACATCCAAGAAGTAAAGAGTCTCAAAAGAAAACTTGGGCTGGGTGGCAAATTTCTCTGGAACCAAACTCTAATTCCGTCAGTGTCTCCTCAGCAGTTTTTAGCTTTGATGAAGAAAAACTCTGAATAATGACAATGCCACATAAATTAAAGGAATTCTGGATAATGATACTGCTTAATTTTTTTTCTTTTAGCATTCTGTGAATTTCCTATTACATCAGTTTCATGATTCAGCATTTTCCATTCATTTATTTACAATAATATATGGTGAGATAACCCAAGGTTTCTGCAGGATCCTGGAACATAAGGTAGGCTGGACAGGAAGGGTGTCACCTTTTGTAAATTTACTATTGTTTAGGAGAATTCAAAGCAGACAGACGAAACCAAGCCATCAAAGGAATTGAGGACTACCTCCCACCTCGTTCTGAGGGTCTAAATTACTCTGGTATTTCAAATGAGTTGGTTTTGAAAAATAGGTTACTGCCATTTAGTTGACTAAAACAGTAGCCAAGAAGTGTGCAAATTGTAAACTGACATGTATAAGCCAAATGTTATTATCTGAAATGACAATCTTCAAGACGCAGCTAAAGTCACTACTCTGGCGGTAAGTGTGTTACAAAGAACTAGATTTCTTTCTGGCAACCGCAGCAACTTGGCGGGAGTGACCACGGAGGAGTTGAAGAGCACTGGAAATGCAAGGTTCATCGCCCGGTGCGTTGGCAGAAAACGGTCGGGGCCATGAGGGCCCGGGTGGGAACTAAAAGGAGGGTCGAGGCGGGTGGCATTCGTGGAAAGAAAGAGGCGAAGTTGGGCACAAGAAGGAAAGGAGCCGCGAGAAGATTGTGAGGGAAGCCCAGGACGGGCAATGGAGGGGGGTGGGGGGTGCTGGAGAACCGTGCGCGGCAGGGTGGGGAGGGAACGCGGGTAGCGAGGCTCCCAGATGGAGTAGGGGACAGGACGGAGTCTCGAGGGGAACCCGACCCGGGTCTGGAGCGAGTCTGGGAGGGAGAGGAATGGACACCAGCGAGAGCGCAGCGCGGCAAGTCCGGTCCACGCACCCCTCTCGACGCCCCGGGTACCCATCCCAGGCGCCGGGCGCGCCCAGGGCGCAGCGGCGAGGAAACTAGCAGCGCCGTACCCGCCCCGCGTGGCGAGGTCCCCCGTCGCCCCCACCCGCGTCCCCCGGGCTCCGCGCGGAGGGGAGGACCCGAGTAGGGTCCGGCGCTCACCAGGTAGCAGAGTAGGAACAGCGCGCAGGCAGGGCGGCCGCCGAGGCCCGGGGGGACGCCGCCACTCGGGGGGGCCATGGCTGCGGCCCGGGGGCCGACCGCGGGCGGCGGGGGTTGTTGCTGCTGCTGCCGCGGCCACCCGAGCCCCGCGCCGCGCCGCTGCATGGCGAGGCCGCCCGGATACGGGCCGGAACAGGTCACCTGGTGCAGGGACCGGCCCCCGCCCGAGGCGCCACCTTCCCGCCCGCCCCCGGCCGGGCCGGCCGCCGCGCGCGGGGCCACCTGCCGCCGCCGCCGGACCCGCCGCCGCCGCCACTGCCGCTCCCGCCGTCGCCGCCCCCGCAGCCCCAGCCAAGCGCCGGCTCCTCCCCGCTTCCCAGTCCCCGTCCCCTCCCTCCCCCCCCTCTGCCTCCCTGCCCAGCCTGCCTCCCGGCCGCTCCCGCCGGCCCCCAGCTTCCACCCCTGGGGGCAGCCGGCGCCCACGCAGGTGGCTACCGACCCGGGTCCCGCCCCCCAGCTGCCGCCCCCCGCCCGGTTCGCTCCTTGCCCGACCTCCCTTTCCTTTTCTTTCCTTCCCTCCCCCGCCCCCCTTCCGCGCTCTTCCTCTCGGCGATCCCCCCCACCTCCGTTTCCCTTTTTCCCTCTCTCCTCTTCTCCCACTCAGCCGTCTCTTCCTAAGCCCCTCTTTTTTCACTTTCTCCCTTTTCTCCCTGTCCTTTTTCTCCCTCCCTCCCTCCCCTCCCTTCTCAGTCTGTTCCGCCCCCCGCATTCTCCCTCTCCCACCCACTCCTTCTGCGGGTCGCGCAGCCCAGTTCGCGCCGGTGCAATGGGTTTTTGTTAGGTGGCTTTTTGCGCGAGGGCGCCATTCCCGCTGGGCGCAGGGTGACTGTGCCCCCTGGAGTCGCGCCACTCAGCGGCCCAGCTTCCAGTCCTGGAGGATGGATTTTGACCCCTGCCAACCTCCACCTGTCCACCTGCAGGGGTGGGGCCGCCTCCCTGCTGGCACATTTTTAGCCCGGGTTGTGCCCCACCCTGCTGGCTGGTTCGCAGCACGTTCTGGATGTTTCCCGAGGGTTTTGTGCGGTGCCGCCGCCGCCACGCTCTTTGTTTTAATTGTCCAGAGTATCGGCGCCCAAAGCGGGCTTGTATTTGATTTGCATCTTTGTGCCCCTGTTTCCACTTTGGACCAAAAAAAAGAAAATGAATTAATTAGGCCAATGCAATTGTATTCAAGCCCCAAATGAAAGGACTAAGGCTCTTGAAGTGCTCAAAAAGCTTTTTAAAAGAATATCCAGGCACATCCTGGGCTCTGAGCAAGCAGGTTGGGACTGGCTGCTCGCCGTCCCGGGTTCTGCCGCCAGGCCGAGGGGCGCGGCGAGATGGCGGGACCGCTCAAGGCCCGCCCTAGCGCTCTGGGAAGCGAATGGCTGTGTCTATTGGCTCAGACAACTCCTTGGGCCCTGGGCTGCTGCTCTGAAACCGTTAACCCATCTTCGAAAGTTCGCAAAAGCTTCCCTTTGGCACCGGTGGATTTGTGCGGATTGGAACTAATAATAGATTGGGAATCTGAGAGGACACAGCCCTTTCCCCGTGGAGGTGCCATCACAGTAGGTCAAGTCACGACAGGCATCGGGAGAGGCTGGTGGTAAGATGGGTTAGACCAGCTTTGCAATCCCCTGTGGCTGCATGTGCCCTCAGGCTCTCAGGACAGGCGGCCTGGCCAGGCTCAGCTCCTCAGCTGAGTCATCCCTTACTTTTTTTAGGTCACTCGATGGCTGTGGCCCTGGGTCAAGCTCTTGGCCCCGAGTCACTCACTGCAAGGTAATGCTTTATGTCAGTGGTTCTCAGACTTCAGCCTGCATTGGAATCGTGGGGAGGGCTTGTTAAAACGCACATAGCTGGACAACCCCGCTGGAATTTCAGATTCAGTCAGTCCTGGGTGGGACCAAGAAGCCACCTTTCTAACAAGCTCCCAGGTGATGCTGCTGCTGCTGCAGAGACCCCATTTCCAGAACCATTGGCTTACAGGAGACGGTCACTTCTGCGCCTCTCTCATCCAGCAGCCACCACATTAAAGCATTTGAGGGTTTCTTTGTTTGACAGATGTCGCCACCACTATGCCCCACTTCCACAGACGCAAAGCACTTAAAATTCTCCTGTGTGATGTGGAAAACCATTTATTCTATCGAGTGCCCAAGGGGATCAAAGATTTGATGACTTTGTCCCAGATCATGTCCATATTTTTTCTGTCTGGTCGAAGTATAGACTATACTTTTTAATGTATGTGGGAGGAAAATTGTCGGCCACTTCTGGAGAATGGGGCTTCCTAATATTTCTTTGGTTTCCCCCGTCTCCCTGGGCCTTTCTCCAGAGTTTCTCTCCTCCTTTATTGCACACAGACTCAGCTGGTCTTAGGGAGCCAAATGATTCCCTCAGGTGGTTTGTAATCAGGATTCACACAATCACAGTTTTCAAAGCCTTGTGAGTTTAAGGGTTTGAATTTACCTAACTGTAGTCAATGTGGAGGAACCCCATAGGGGACTGGGCTATTTTAACCTGGTATATCCAATCTCCCACTTATTTGTCTTCTATTGCATTCCTAGTGTCCATCAGGCACCACCAAAAGCCCGAGGAATCCAGAAGTGGGCAGACCATCCGTTCCGCAAGGAGCAGCAGGCTTGCAAAAAACACCAAACACACTTTGGTTCCGTAAAAGGGACGTTCAGGTTGCTCTGCAGCCCAGGGCAGGGGGTGGCAGAGCTGGCTGATTCATTCTGTATTGGAGAGGGGCAGAGAAAGAGAAGGTCAGGATGTCTATTCATAGTGGAGTGTGACATTTTGATCAAGAAGACAGAATCAGTTATTGCCCGGCCTCATCTCTCACTGTTTGTGTCAGTAATTTGAAAGATGTGGTCTGATTTCAGCAGAAGCCCCTTTATTTAAAAATATCGTTCTTTCCCATTGCCCTATGGAAGAGCTTAAAATTCCACCATTACAATTCATTGACTTGAATTAAGTTTTAATACTCCACTAAAATGTGAAGGCCCCTGGGGAGAGTGTATTAATCGAGTATCACTCCTTACTGCCTTAGTGTGAGTCGGTTTATCACATTCCCCTCAAAGGAGATGGTGAGAGGAGAACAACTCCACACCTCAACACAGAAAAGGACAAAAGCATCAGGGGCCGAGGGAGAATGGTGGACTCATTCATCCTTATTGAGCCTCCAGGGGGAGGAGCATCCAGAGGCCTGGAGCCAAGGAGGCTGGAGAAAGAGGTGAACCTCACTGAACCCGTTTGCCTCGATGGGCACAGATGACATCTTAGGCCAGGAGTCCTCAGACTGAAACGATCACTATAATCTCAGGGACAAATGCAGTTGGCCAACTATTAACTTGCCAAGTAAAAATATTCAAAACAGGACCAGCCTGGTGGCCTAGTGGTTAAGTTCATCTCGCTCTGCTTTGGCAGCCCAGGTTCGGTTCCTAGGCGTGGACCTACACCACTTGTTTGTTGGTGGCCGTGATGTGGCGGCTCACACATAAAAAGAGGAAGATTGGCAACAGATGTTAGCTCAGGGTGAGTCTTCCTCCGAAAAACAAAAATATACATATTTAAAACAAACAAAATAACCTGAAATCTACTTTTATTCACCATTATTTTGTTAAAAAGATAGGGCATTTTTACCAGCAAAAATTAAGGAGGGGTTTAACATTATAATAAAAGACAGTCCTTTAAACTGAATGTAATTTGCTTGTGAAAAACTCCCAATTTGTCTGTGTCTCATTTGGCTGTGGACCAGTAGAAACTTACCCTCAGACTGGCACTGTCCATGCTGGGGCACTTGGAAGCCACATTTCCAGGGATCAAGGCTGTCTAGGGAAAGAGACCTGTGCCTACAGAGACAAATGACACCTGCATATCAAGAGGTGGGGTGGTGGCACTCTGTGGGAGGAAGTGAGGCATGCTCCTTCTAACCACTCCGCTCCTACATAAACCGCTGGGGCCCAGGCAAATGCCACCTGCTCTAGGGACCTTCCCTCATGGCCTCAGGTCAAAACTCGATGGGTCCTTTCTCTCTGTTCTCACTGAGCATTGCCTGGAACCCCACGTAGCAACCAGCTAATCCTGCTTTATACGGTAGCAGGTTTGTCAGCCTGTCCTTCTCTTTGGGTAGACTGTAAGATCTTTGAGAGCAGGGGTGGTTTCTTTCTTTCTTTCTTTTTTTTTTTAACTTTTTATTAAGATTATGATAGTTTACAACCTTGTGAAATTTCAGGTGTACATTATTGTTAGTCATGTTGTAGGTGCGCCACTTCACCCTTTGTGCCCTGCCCCCACCCCCCCTTTCCCCTGATAACCACCAATAAATTCTCTTTGTCTCTATGTTTAACTTCCACTTATAAGTGGAATCATACAGAGTTCGTCTTTCTCTATCTGGTTTATTTCACTCAACATAATACCTTCAAGGTCCATCCATGTTATTGTGAATGGGACGATTTTATCTTTTTTATGGCTGAGTAGTATTCCACTATATATATATATATATATATATATATACACATACACACACACACACACACACACCCCATATCTTCTTTATCCAATCCTCAGTTGATGGACATTTAGGTTACTTCCACATCTTGGCTATTGTAAATAATGCTGCGATGAACATAGGGGTGCATGGGACTTTTGGAATTGCTGATTTCAAGTTCTTTGGATAGATACCCAGTAGTGGGATGGGTGGGTCAAAAGGTATTTCTATTTTTAATTTTTCGAGAAATCTCCATACTGTTTTCCATAGTGGCTGCACCAGTTTGCATTCCCACCAACAGTGTATGAGCGTTCCTTTTTCTCCACAACCTCTCCAACACTTGTCACTTTTTGTTTTGGAGGGGTGGTTTCTTAATCAGCTCTGTGTACTCCCCCCTGCCTTGTATAGAAAATTCTTAAACGTAGTCGCTAAATAAAATTGACTCCATCATCTTCCTTTTCTGTTTTTTCTTCTACCCTCCCTTCTTGTCTTTCTCCCTTCTTATCTTCCTTCCTCCTTTCCCTTTTTTATTCATTGTTATCTCCTCTATCTTCTTCCTGTTAGAACACAGCTTTCCCATGACTATCAGGTTTCTCCCCTCTCCCACCCTCTCCTTTCCTTCTGCAATTTCAGATATTCAGAATAAAGACAAATGAACTGTGACATTTGCCTTTTACGTCAAAATAGAAGAAAACAAAAATAGAAGAGAAGACGGCTGGCAGGCAGCACACTCCCCATCCCAACTGGAAAACCATGGCCTTTTTCTCTGCCAAGGATGACCTTCAGGCTTTATCTAAATCCTGCACGCACGCCATCGTTAATGTTCAGTACCTCCATTTTTCTCACAATGCCTAAGCATTACCTTCTCTAAATCCATGTCCTGACTCTGTTCTGTTTTGCATTCTCCTTATTGACCAATTAACTTCCTATTTCTTCCTTCCTTGGGGCATTCCACCAGATAGCGTCCTTGAGTCCTGGTCCCCAGACCCCCTCAAGTCTCTGACTCTGCAGACTCTGTTCCTGTGGGCCACGGAGCTCTTGCTTTGAGAAGCTGTAGTGAAGAGGGGATGGAAATGCTTGTGTAACCTGGGAGTTTTTCCATGTGTTTCTCCGGGAATGCTGAGGTCTCGGAATCCCTCGTCTGTAGCCCTGGCATGCTCCGAAATGAGCTCTATTTCTGGGCCTGTCAGATGAAACGCTATTGCTCCTAGTTATTTTTGGCTCTTTGCCCTTCTGAATAGGTGCATATTCAGCTCGATTCTCACCCCACCCTGAGCTGGGAAAAAGCTGGCAGCTTCCCTTAGCCCAGGCTCCTCCCAGGTCAGGAGCACTTGCCCCCTTAGGCAGCAGCTATCATAAGCTCTCTGGATCCCATGCAGGCTGTTTGTGCCGTGTCCAGTGGGCAGCAGGGGAATCCACTCAGTGGCCCCCTCGGATCACTGATGAAGAGCTTTGTGAGCTGAACACCCGTGGGCAGGTGCAGCCAGGTGTCCAGAACCTCCTCACTGGGCATGGCTGCAAAAACTTCTGCCATCTTTGGGGGACCTGGAATGGGAGGGGGTGCATCTCAGGCTCCGTGAGCACAGAAATATCTGTATACTGAGGCTCTGAGGAAGGAAGGTGCCCTGGGACACAGAAGGTCAAGGACATGTATGTGTAAGTGGAAGGCTATCTTTGGGTGCACGTGTTGAGAACATATACGTGAAGGAGTGGAGCGGAAAGAAGTTGAGTGTGAATGTGCAGGTCCACTTGGGACAGAGAGTGAGAGGAGAGAGCAACCGGGGACCGAGGGAGAGAATGTCAGTGTAAATAATTGAAGAGAGAATGTGAGTGCACGTGAGAGCTTGCGGAAAGCGATTTGTGTCTCCAAGTCCTGACAGTATTTTATAACTGCATCCTGTAGCCGAAATTGTGATCCTCAGGCAGGCATTAACATCGACTTAGGGCTTTTAGTCCTTCCAGTAATATCGAGTAAAATGAAACGTCCAGATCAGCTGTACTTGTATGGATGCTTGGTAAGGTCCTTATAAATCAAATAAGGCCTAGAGAAGGGGAAGCTAGACCAGGGTCCTCTTAATAAATAATTTGTGTATTCCTCATGACATCAGCAGCAGTCTCATTTTACAGATGAAGAAACTGAGTCATTTGAAAGAAACCAGGAACATGGCCAGGAAGTGGCAGAGCCCGTTCGGATTCAGGCCATTTTGCTCAAGGACTCGTGCTCAGACCACGGCACTAAACTTCCGCTGTGATTGGGGGTGATGGAGAGGCAAGCAGGTGTTGTGTGGCGTGTCGGGGAGCCCCTCCTGGGTTTTCGACTTGAGTCTCTGTCAGGGCTTCAGCAGCTGCCTGAGAACATGGATTGTTGTATCAGACACACCTGTCCAGGGCCCGGCCCACCACTTCCTAGCTGTGTTACCTTGGGCAGGTTACCAATCCTTTTTGAACCTCAGTCTCCGCATCTGTAAAAATGGGCTACAGTTGCAGATCTGCCCCTTTACATGGTGTTCTGGAGGTCAGGGAAGGTAGCATAGGTGACGGTGCATGGTAAACTATCAAGCCTTAGACAAGAGGAAACCACTGTGTGTACAGTCATGCGTCACTTAATGATTTTGTCGTTGTGCAAACATCACAGAGTGTACTTGCGCAAACCTAGATGATATAGCCTACTTCACACCTAGGCGAGATGGTACTGATCTTATGGGACCACCCTTACATATGCGGGCCGTCGTTAACTGAAACGTCGTTATGCAGCACTTGACTGTATTTTTCCTACTTGCCTACCTCCAAAAAAGGCTCACAAAGAAAGATACATCCCTTATAAGACCAAGAAAAATAGAGAAAGTTTATAAATACCTGTGGCAGCATGACCCCAGCCATGGACCACATCTCCCATTATAACCCTGGCGGGGTGTATTCCCCCGTTTTCCACCTGGGGGAAGCCAGCCGCCAGGTGTGAGCTTCGACTGCCCAGCATGCTGTGAGAAAGCCCACGCTAGCCGTGTGGAGGGAGAGAGAGAAGCTCAGCCAGCCTCTAGATGTTCTGGCTGTCTCAGCCCAGCTGCCAGACATGTGACTGAGAAACCATCTTGAACGTTTATGGCAGCTGAGCCTTAGGTGACTCCTACCTCAGCCACCATCCGTCAGAAACTGTGTGAGAGTCCTCAAGCAAGGACTGCCCAGCTGAGTCTGGTCAACTTACTGAACTATGAAAGGTATAAATAAATTGTTGTTGTGAGCCACTAAGTCTGGGGGTAATTTGTTCACAGCAATAGATAACTGAAACAGTATCGGAGGCTAATATTAATTTTAACTCAACAGTATAGTTAGCTTTGAGCTTCCTGGCATTCAAAGTGAAAAGGGAGCAGGATGGATTATATGCACTTCTTATTGTCTTAAGGTGTTATGATTTACCTGAATAGAAAGTTGATCCGACTCATCACCTTGCAGTCAAATCAGAATGAAAATTAAACTATCTTCCTTACATGAGAATCTCTCCTATCTTTACCAAAATTACAGTTGTGCCGATTCTATAATCTGCCTTGTGAGAGCAAACCCCAAAAATTGCCATCGTCACTAACAAGAAAATATCCCTGCATTCGGCCCAAATCTTTCAGACTGGAGCTCAAGCCCATTTTCTCTTGTTCAGTTCTCAGTGCATCTTCCACCTCCTGCCTCATTCCCATCCCAAATTAAGTCACATGCCGGCTTGGTGACTCCGGGGTCCTACGCAGCCAAAATTAATGATTAAAATAGAAATGCTGAAAATAGTTGAAACTGAAGCAAATTGGATGATTTATTCAAACCTTCAGGAAAAATTACTATTCAGCCCAGAATTGAAATTTAGACTTGTGGTTCCTAATCAGCTAGAATGCAATACTTCCCCGGTGCTAACCCCCCAAAAGGGAAAGAAAAACTCACATGAAATCTAGACATGGCTGTCCCTGTGTGTTTTAGAACCCGGGCCCCGCAGGTCAGGAACCATATCTGTCTTCCGAACAGCGCCATGTGTAACGCTTTACTGGTGCTTATTAAAGCTTTTCTTCACTCTGACCTTCCAAGTCTACGGTAGTAAAAGAATACGAGTGTGAAGCAGTGATTTCCATTCTCTCCACCGTGGCCTTGGTGAACGGGTGTCGCTTGCCTGCTGGTCCCATTCTGGGAAGTCTGGGTTAGCGCATGGAGTCTTTGAGGTCACTTCACTCACTCGGGACCTGAACTAGGCCCAGGTAACCCGTAAGGTAGTGAACATTGTCTTTTGTGCCCTTGACCTAATTTTCTATACTCTTCCCCCTCATTTGTCTTCACACCCCTAAATTGGGCTTCAGAGTCCTTATGCTGAAACTCTAGCCTAAAGGTTGGGAGAAAGGGCCGGACTCAAACCCCAGCTGAGTTCTTTATGCTACATTTGCATCAAGACTTTCCAATCATCAAGACATTTCATATCTGTGTTTCAGTTCACTGTCTTAACAGTCCTGTGGAAGACGTTGTTACGGGTTGGATGGTGTCCTCTGAAAGGACATGTTGGAGTCCTCACTCCTGTGTCTAACCCCTGTGGCGCTGCCCTTATTTGGAAATGGGGTCTCGGCAGATGTAATCACGTGAAGATGAGATCATAGGATGGGCCCTAATCCACTATGACCGCTGTCCTTACAAGAAGATGGAAGTTTTGACATAGACATGCCCATAGGGATGACAGCGTAAAGACACAGAGGGAAGACAGCCATGTGAAGAGGGAGGCAGAGCTTGGAGTCTTGCTGCCCTGAGCCACGGACTGCCTGGGGCTACCAGAAACTGGAAGAGGCAAAGAAGGCAGCATGGTCCTTGTCCCGAGGCTTCAGAGGGAGCATGGCTTTGCCAGGGCCTTGATTTTAGACTTCCATTTTCCAGAACTGTGAGACAATAAATTTCTGTTGTTTCAAGCCACTCAGTTTGGGGCAGTCTGTTCCAGCAGCCCTAGAAAATTAATATATAAGTGTTATCATTTTTCCTATACTTTTTAATGCAATGTTATTGGGTACCAACTGTGTTCCGGGATCCATCCTGACCTCTGGAACCCAGACCCAAGGCTGCAGATTGATACAAAGCAAATCAAAGACCCCGGACCTTCTGAGGAATCTCCATGCTCATTTGGTTGTGTCTCAGGCTCTCCGCAAACACCCCCCACCCATCACCACTGCCTGGCTTGTGCTCATTCCCGCAGCTGTCTTAGAGGTAGACATTGCTGGGACTGGTCGTGACTTAGAGGACCTCCTGATCCATCCCCCTGGTTTTCCAGGTGTGCCAGCTGAGGTTCAGAATCATCATGCTACCAGTAGAAAGGCAGTGTTGAACTCCAACACATCTTCTCACTCTGGGACTCTGATTAATTCATGTCATGAGTAAATTCAACAAACAACCAATGTTTGTCGAATAAACACTAAATTATTAATGACTGGTAAAGAGAATGTGTTATACTTCCCAGAGGTATTTGAATGTGGAACAATGCCTTAACCCAGATAAGTGAATTTCTGATATTCAAATGTGGGGCTGGGGTGAGGGATAGGCAAAGCAGAGCAGGGAGCTTTGGCGGTGAGGGCAGAGTCTTTTGCTGACCCTTTATCTCATATCCCTAAAGCAACCTCTGTGTCTGCTTAGGACGGGTCTGGCTGCCTTGGAGAATTCTGGAAGTGGGCTGAGGAAGACCTTGCTCTCCTCTGTACTTTGAGAGGCCGTGCAGGGCTGTGACCAGTGCCCTCCTGGATTCAGAAGGAAGCGCTGGCCTCATTATATGCGTGTACCACACCTGCTGTTTTAAACTCCAATCCTGCTGAACAATTCAGAAATAGATCCATTATAGGTCTGCTTTAGCCCCAGGGCTTTAACACAGGTCACTAGAAAATCCAAGATTGCACAGTAATTCAAACTCTTAAGAGGGAAAGAAAAAAATTCTCTTCAGCTCCTTCCCCATCCCCCTGGCTCTCTCCCCCACTATAACCTGGAGTGCCTCTTCATTTCTGTAGTGCTTTGGAATAAATAGCTGTTACGTTGAACGCGAACTCTAAATTTTTCTTTGGCTATTAATTGATAAGAGCAGCTCCTTTTACCTTTCACGCTCTGAAGTAAGATTACAGTGTAAATAAAGTGGGTCAGGTTTAGCAGGATGGACGTGAACCATTCCCTAATGCCTCTAATCTCTGGTAAGGGAATAACTAGGATTTGGACGTCAACATTCAATAAGCAATCATGTCGCTCCTTCAGACTCCACCTAAGTTAGTCCTCTGTTCCCTCGAAGAGAATCCGACGAACCTCCAAGCCGTGCTCTTCAATTGCAATCTCCTTGTTTGTTCTAGCCCGTGAGAGGAGTCAGGCTGTCGGAGGGCTTGGGTTTGACCTATATTAATTTGAGAGTATCAGGGATCTCTTGTTTTACTTGAAACAGATCAGGGAAGAAGGATCAGTAGACAAGGATTTTCTCCATTGCTGATCACGACGCGGTGCTCAGCATTTCATGAGCCCGGCTTCCCATTTTCACAGCGCATTAGAACCATTATCTAATTATTAATCTCACCCTAGAGTTCTGAAGAGTTTATGATGCCTGTTGAAGTTAATGAAGGCTTTTACCTATAGATCTGGCACTAAATCATTGTAATTGACCAGGTGCCTACAATATGGTAGGCGGTGATAGAATTGACAGAAGGGGAAAAGAATTAGAAAGAAAGGAAGAAGAGGAAGAAGAAGAAGGCACCAGAAAGGAGGAGGGGTGAGAAACCAAAACTAGATTGTAACTTCAAACCACCTCATTAGAAAAATGGGGCAGTTAAGGAAGCACTCACCGAGTGATCTGCTTAAACTTTAATTAATTATTCATTTTTGTATATTTATGTGGCACACCTCCTCTAGGGAACTCAATGTGCTTTGCAAACATATTAAATAATTAACTCTCGCAAATCTGAGTGAAGTGGAGAGGCAGCAAATGTACTTCATAAAAGGCCGGGTGGGTTGGTGAGTGACAACTAGATGTCTCACTTTGAAGGAGCAATGCCATGTGATACTCCCCAGAGGCTAGATAGTGGAAGACCTCTTCTGGGGACTAATAATATGGTGATCTGTCCTAGCGTTTTGCAGAGGAAGCAGTTTTTGATTATGAGATATGTGATGATAGATAGCCAGGCAGACACGTAAATAGGTATGAATTTCTATAGAAATAAAGTATATATATATATTTTTATATATATATATTTTTTTTTGCTGACGAAGATACACCCTGAGCTAACATCTGTGGCCAGTCTTCCTCTGATTTGTATGTGTGTCGCCACCACAGCGTGGCTGATGAGTGGCATAAGTCAGGACTCAAACCCACGAACCTGGGCAGCCAAAGCAGAGCCTGCCGAACTTAACCACTACACCACCAGGCTGTTCCCCTATAGAAATCAAGGATGTTTTGAGGAAGAATGTTATTATAAGAAAGCCAAATGAGGTACGTTTAAAAAATATGTATTGCCTTCAAGACAAAAATAAAAGTTAGGAATAGTTCCAAATCAAGAACACCAATTATGGCATTAAATAAAATGAAATTGCAAAAGTCAAATGCCAAATGATGAGTAATTACATTTACTAAGTTGTGTTTAAACATATTTTGACTTCCTAAAATTGTATCCTCACTGTCTTGACAGGACACCATGAAAAAAAATACCTTTAACACAAGTGGTTTAAACACCCAGAAAGTATAAATGTATCTGTTAAATCTGTGAAGGGCAAAAACAAACAAAAACTTAGAAAATAAAAAAAGAGAAGAAGAAGAAGTGAAAGTGGCAGCTGCTTAGGTTCAGTGGGTGGAGCTGCAGAGTAGAGCGGCCACATTCTCATCAGAAGGTTTGTGCCTTGGTGGGCTAAGACCTCTTGGTCAATTACAGGAACAGATTTCCGTTCAGCGCATCTTCAAACTAGTAAATTGGAATGTACACACGGAGGAGGATGGACGGGTCCTTGGAGAGATCATGGTAATTAAAACCACAGTGTGCATCTGTTCATGTACATATTGCCTGGTGACACATCGCCCAGCAGCTAATGTCGATATTTGGCCGACTAACCTACTGGAATTTTCAGTGTGGCAGAGAGATGGTGATTAACAAGCAGACAGGTTTTTCTTACCTTTTAAAAATGAAAGATGACCTTACCCCAAGACCCATAGCCAGAAATTAAAATAAAAAAGGGAGAGGTGGTGAGTTGAAGGGAGAGAAACTTTTTTTTAAAAGCCAACAAAACCACTCTACTGATTCCCAACTCCACCTAGAATCCCGACTGCTTTCAATTTTCATTTTATTTTACCTTTTTTTTTTTTTAAGGAAAATTGTCTTCCTCTTTTTCTTTTTTCTTTTTTCTTTTTTTAAGGGAAGTAGGATAGAATTGGTTCTCCACCAATTCCCAATCAAGGGTGTTTGAGCAAGTCCCTTGACCCTTCTGAGCCAGCTTTATCCATTGAAAATGCTGACTGCCACTCAGGATTGTTCTGAGGATTAAGTGAAATGGTGGCTGGGGCCGTGCTTTGCAAGCTTTACAAATGTGGGGTGATTAGGATCATTTTGGACAGGGTTGAAGATCTTCCTGTTCAGGGCACACACTTCTGAGTGTCAGGACTGAAAAACCTCCCAGGTCTTCTCCCACCCTCTTCCACAAGACAGCCACGCTGCTGCCACTGGACTGTCCCAAAATCATGCTCCAGTTTCAAAGACGTCGTTCTTATTTCATTACTTACTTTCCCCCTTGGACCAGCCCAAGTTTAGCTGGTTAATTTCAGTATTAGCCAGGGATCAGTCTTCAGCCTTAATATAAACAGACCAACATTTTTCTGACTAATCCTCCTACTTCCGGCAGCACAGACCACAAAACAAAACAAGCCCTCTCTCCATATTACTTCAGGGACTGTAGGTAAATTCTCCTCCCTGAGAGAAACATGCATGCTGCCTGGGGTGACTTCTGTCCTGGGCTTTCTGATACTCGGACCAACTAGGTTTTTCTAACTCCATTCACGTTTTTAGTAGACATAGCTTATACCTTTTAATCTAAAATACCAAGAGCTTTTTCAAATCATGTAAGCCAGAGTATTATTAATATTTTAGGTAGCATGCTATTATTATTCACCCTATATATATTTTCCTATATCTATTATATATGTATAGTTTGAATCTACTTTATGTGTTACACATATACAGCAAACAACTATATATATTAGAGATGAGTTTAAATTTATTTTGTATATACAATAAGTTTATATAATTTACATATTTTATATATACGTAAGTTTAAACTTGTCTATACCTAATCTCAACTCACCAGATTTAAATTCAGGGTGGTTAACAGGTACTTCTGTGATATTTCTAAATCCTGCCTCTCCAATTATATAAAAGAAACATCTGCCTACCTACCCAATTTAACAAAAAAAATTGGCAAAATACCGAGAAAGCCCAGCAGCTTCAAGGTGAGAACTAACATTCCTCAAATGCTAACACCAGATCTCCCAACTGTGATCTCATTAAACCTCACAACAATCCAGTGAGGGATTCAGCCACTGCTTTTATTTTGATTTCCAGAAAAAGGACAGTGGAGATGCAAGGAGAATTGGCCAATTTTCAAGGTCACTCACGTACAGCATGGTAAAGAAGCCGAAGCCAAAACATCCTCCGTCTGGTCCGTTGTGGCAGCCCCAGCTGGACAGAGATGTTTGTCCAAGCAGAGGATGGGGGCATTGGACCCCTGACAGAGCATTTCGCTCTTTTGGGAAATTTTACAAAGCATTCCCAATTCTTCTCGTCTGCAGTTAAGCATCCAAATGATTGCATTATAGCTTGTAATACCCTCCCATCTCCCACCAAAACTGAGATGGGGAGAAATATTTAAAGTCTCAAGAGCACAGAAAGCAAAGAATCGGTTCCTTGTTTGCTTCTCTGCAGAGGAAGAAATGGGAAAGCCAGTTTTGCATTTCAGACTTTAAATTCAAAGTTGACTTGCAGACCATAAACTCAATGTCCCTCAATGAATAGAAAAGGATCTGCCTTTTACTGAGAGTTTTGAGGGAAGCTAGAGTATGGTGATTTTCATACACATGCTTTGTGTCCAAATGGTTTGAGATGGAAAAGTGATCTTGGTTGGAAAAACCTCTAATCACATTCTATAGAAAAATTTTTTAAAAATTTATGTAAGATTAATCTTCAAATTATTGGCAGTTTTTGTTTTTATTTCATCAAACTCTGCACACCAGGTTTATTAGTTATGGATCCTCTATTAGAACAGTTCAAAAGTGGCGGGGTGGATTTTGCCCCCCCAGGGGACATTTGGTAATGTCTAGAGACGTTTTGGGTTGTCACAAATGGGAGTGGGGGTGGTGTGCTATCGGCATCCACTGGGCAGAGGCCAGGGACGCTGTGAAACATCATACAATGCACAGGACAGCCTGCCAAACAAAGAATGATCCGGCCCAAAATGTCAGTAGTGCTGAGAAACCCCGCACTGTGACAATCACAGTCGACACTCAGGAAACTGTTCCTTTTCCCCTTCCTTCCTCCCCGCCCAGAATTCTGCCCCACCAAGATTTATTGCTGTCTTGGTATGTTATGCATTACAATAGCTTGACCCAAAAATATTTTTTCAGATCTTTTGACTCTCCAAATGTTGAATACCTGCAGTTTGAAAATGCTATTACGATGTGTTTTATTATTAGCATTATAAATTGAATCAAGAACATTTATATTTTGAATTTGTCTATATTTAATCTCGGTTGTAAACTGAAGCCCCAGCACACAAAGGCCACACGTTACCTTTCAGGGGAGAGATTATGCCAGTTGGGTGGGTGCCTTGGGTTCTATTAAAGTTGCAACCAGTCTTCCCTGTCAGACCGTTACAGCTAAACACATTCAGATCTGCAAGCAGCAAGCGTGGCTTCCTGCCCAAATGGCTCATTGTGCACAGAGGAGAGAGCAGATCCGGACCACTGGAGCGTGTCCCTCTGCCACCCCTGAGCATCCTCTCTATTATCCACTCAGACCTGGGAAACCAGCCTGCCCGACAGCTAACAGCTGTTGGGGGATACCTGTAATTGAGTCAAGCTGCTGACTAGGGACTGTGTAAAGGCAAGTTCTAAAACCTTCTTCCTGGTGTGCCTCTGAGTCCCACAACCCACACTGTGACATTGGATCCCTTCCTGTCCACCTGTTCTTCCCCATGTGTCAATTTTGCTCTTAAGATAAGGACAAAGCTCCTTTAGCGTGAAGAAGGTCCTGCGCACACCCTTTGCTCTCTCCACTCCTCCTGCACTGACCTTCATGCTCATCCACATGTAAGTCATACTCTCTCCTACCACAGGCCCTTTGCACAAGCCTCTCATTTCCTCCCCTCCCCCCATTTCACCTAGTTGATTCACCTGCTCATTTAACAGATATCAGCCCAGTCATGACTTCCTCAAGGACATATCCCAGGCCTCCCTGATCTTCTAATACACATTTTCATCGTACCACTTTCTTCCTTTAGAGCACTCACACAGATGCAATTTTACTATTATTTGTGTGATTATTTGAAAAATGTCTGAGTAGGACGCGTCATTGTACTCTGAGCACCAAACACAACACTTGCAATGTGGTAGGTGCTGGGTAGGTATTTGTTGCCTGACCACTTAACTAAACAAATGAATAAAAGGACAAATGAATAAATCAATGAATGAATGAAACTATCCTAAAACCTAAACTCAGGAGCAAAGCCATGGCTGTGAAACCACGTGTGCGCTTAGGTCCAGGTCACCATCTGGATTGTCAGTATTTGGCATTTAAATTATTGAAAGGAGGAGAAGAGAAACCTTGCCTACAAAACATGCAACTGAGAAAAAATTGTCTACCTCACTCAGAGCATCATTAAGTTAGAGAAGAACTCCCACGCTCTCCTCTAAGATGAAGCCCACATCCAGATTCTCATTGCGAGCTTGGCTCCCCTAGAATTCTCTGTTCTTCTTTTGCCTGATCCCACTGCTTCCTAAACATGAAATATCCACAGCTGCACCATTTCTTTATACTTTTTTTGGCGAGGTTAACCTTCCTTCTTTGGTTGTATGTTGTGTAATACCCAAGAGGCCAACACTACTGTTTGAGATATTTAAATATGACTTTGAGAAATGAGTCTGACTTAGATATAAAAGCCTACAGTCACCACGATGAACATGACTGCAATGTTTAAAATCCCTAAATAAAGAGATGCAGCACTTTCTGCATATTCATTGCTGAAATGAACATTATATATGAGTCCTGATTTCGTAAGCATTCAAATAAGGCAGCAGAAGGAAATGTGGATTTACTTATTTCTGTCAATAAAACAACGGCACTTGACCAAAGGAAGAATTGTTTCCTCTAGGAGAAAGAGTAATGTGTACACGGAAGGCAGTTCTGTGTATTAGTCTCTGAGCAAAGCTTTATTTTTATATTATTGTGTCATTTTATGCACAGTCCCCAAGTGCCTTGTCAGTGACAGCCACTCATTAAATCACTTAAACTATCATATAAAAATAAAGATGGATTTTAGGCTACACTGAGCAGTCAGTCGGTTAGCAAATACTGATTACTCCCCATGGGGTCCCAAGACTTCTTGCAGGTGATGGAGTTGTATATTAAAGAAGTACATGGTCTGTTTCCTCGAAATGACACAGAGGTTGATCTAAGCAACAAATAGATGAACCTGTAGTCAAAATAAGATTATTCAGATAAATGCTGTCTTGGCAAAACGGATCAAAGGTCAGTGGTGGATCTCTTCATATTCAGTCAATATAATGCAGGTTCTATGCCAGACAGAGGAGAGAAGCTGTTCCCTGAATATGAAACTGTTTGGTAAAAGGCCAAAAGGTCATGATGGAGCAAAGAACCTTCTAGAGGTCAGCTTGGTTAATATACAGCTGAGCTCCTCCAACATGGGACAAGTGAAGCCTCACGATAAACTTTGTAGGCCTTTCAGAAGCATCATTTCCCCTTTTTGGAAAAAAATGTGTAACATTTTTCAACATGGAAACAAACATGGATATATCATGGAGAAGAATAAAAGAAAAACCCTATGAAAATGTGGAGCCACAAGAAACCACAGACACTGAAGGTGGGAGTACAGATTGGTTCAACCACTCTGGAAAACTCTTTGGAGGTATCGACTAAGTTGAAATATGCAAAACCCACGATACAGCAACAGACTTTGAGATAGATACAGTCCCAAATTCGTGCTCAGGTACACCAATAGATATTTACAAGAATGTTTAGTATTAGACATAATAATCAACAACTGGAGACAGCCTAAGTGCCCATCGACTATGAAATGTATAAATAAATTGTGGTGTACTCATATGATGGACACACAGCAATGAAAACGAGTGGACTAGAACTACACAAAACATCATAGATAAATCTCACAGATATGTTGCGTGAAAGAAGCTGGATGCAAAGGAATTAGCAGTGTTTGATTCCGTTTACAAAAACTCCAAAACCAGGCAAAACTGAACAATAGCATCAGCAGTCAGAATAGTGGTTGGTTTCCCTTGGGGAGAAGACAGTGAGGCACAGAGGGTGGGGGGCTTCTGGGCATTTGTTTACCTGGTGGTCATATGCCTTGTGATAATTCGTTAAGCTGTATATTTATGTTTTGTGTACTTTTTTGAATGTATGTTATACATAAATCATATCTCAGTGATTAAAACTTTTCTTAAAGCATGTGACCCTTTGAAGATAAAAACACTAGCATTCAAAGAAATATATTGCTTCTGGGTGGGACTACCTACCACCCCTGGCTGCCCCAAATTTGCTGAAGTATGTGTTCATTCTTTGTAATTAAGGTCAGGAGACATTGGCACCGGTGGGAGTTGGGGAGAGGGAACAGGAGCTGGAAGGTGGGTGAGAGTTGGCCAGGTTCTGTTTCCTAGCCATGGGGAGAATCCATCAGGGACACGATTGCCTGGGGATATACCAAATGTAAGCACTAAACCGGGGGTTACCTGAAGAGACTGGAAACCAATGAATCAGTGGTGGAAGTAGGAATTGGGTTTAAGCATAGAAGCCAGAGGGCAGAACCGGATGAATGGCACCAAATGATAGCTCTCACTGGTGAAGCAGTAAAGAGAAAGCAACTGGAGAGAAGTGACTGAGGAGCCCAAGAGCAGGTCAGAAAGTAAAAAGGTGGGTCAAGAGCTGGGAGCGCCAGGTGAGGACTGGCTCTCTCCAAGCCGCCATGTTCCAGCTTTAAGATTCCGAGTAGTCAGAGAATTCTGAATTTGAATCTGGGCTTCTAGGTGGTGAAGAAGGTATATTTGTCAAGGTAGGAGGAGAGAATACGTCTTGTCTAGCAGTTTGTTAGCTTGATTTATAACTTCTAAGTATTTGGACATATGGTGTGCTGGCCTCCGTTTATACTCTTGCCCCAGGGCCCATGGATGTTAGGGGTGGACCTTCTAAGACTCACATTCCTCACTTAGGAGAAACTGTCCCTCTGGAAGAGAGCAGAGTTTGGACACTGCTCTACCTCATCAAGAATTTTTTGAAACACTGATGCTGACAAAGCAATGCCAGTTATTAGCTGTCCCACTTCCCCCAGATAGGGGGAAACTCCACATTGATAACACGGCTTCTGATTTATGTGTTCCAATAGAAATGCTGAAGAGGACAGGAGTAAGTCCGGAATCTTACAGGAACATGTTAAAGATCTCCCTAAGATTGATGTCAGCCCATTAATCTGTACATTTAGGGGGCCAGTGTTGGTCTATTACCAGAACCACCTAATCAGTTCCTCCCTGCCCAAGCGGACCTGGTGAGGGGTTTCCGAACTCTGCTGCCCTCAATATGCTTGGTGTCGGTGGCAGGCTGTTGATCTCATATGCAGGGACTCCAGTAGAGAAGAAATGAAGTGGTTTGACCAGACTTGCCTGGCTCCTTGTGCTCGCTGTCTTATGGCCTCTTTCGTACGTGGTTCTCCCCTGTGTTTCTCACTACCGGCTTGAAGAGAGCAACTGAATTGGGCCACTTGATAAAGGCGGAAGCAAGCAGTACAAAAGGTAATGAGGCTAAACTTCAAGGTTGTCTCTGAAGTTTCCCATCTGATGAGAAAGATGGCAAAGACTTCAAAGAACCAAAGGGCAAGGGTCAGCAAACTTTTTCTGTAAAGGACCAAATCGTAAGTATTTCAGGCCTTGTAGTCATACAGTCTTTGTTGCAACTACTCAACTCAGCTTCGAAATCAGCCAGAATGCGAAAGCAGCCACAGACGATACTGGATGGAATGATGTGGCTATGTGCCAATAAAACCTTATTTACAAAAACAGCTGGTGGGCCAGATATGGCCCATGAGCCATAGTTTGCAGACCTCTGTTCTAGGGTATAAACACTTCCTGAGTCTAAGCCAAGAACTCTAGGAAATGGATTAATTTTCTGAATCAGTGAGAAAAACACCACCACACCATGGATCACACTTAAGGTGGATCTCATTGAGAGGTCTATTCTGCAAATCAGAGGCCATCAGATGAATCCCTCTAAAACACCAATCTGCTCATGCCTTTCTCAGCCTGAAAACCTTCAGGGCTCACCTTCACACTGAGTCTGGCCTGCTTTTTTCCCCAGTTTCATCCTTTGTCAGTTTCACATACACCTTGCTGTCTAGCGATGGAGAGCTCTTTGCTGTTCCTTTATTAGCTGTGCAAAGTCATAGCTCCATACCTTTGCGTGTGCTGCTCTTCTGCTGAAAAGACTCCCCTTGCCACTTTCAAACTCTTACGTATCCTTCAAGACACTGTTCAAATGTCTCTGTCTTGACAATCCCCCAGCACCCCTAGGTTGGGTCAGTTTCCCCTCTTCTCTGTTCCTAACACACTCTACACAGACCTGTACTCCATCAATACGACTTCAGAGCAATCCCTTCTAACTGATCTCAAATGGTTTAACCTTATCTTGTATAGTATTTTGCTCCCTCCCTGCTGGGTTGTGAACTCCTTTCAGATCAGGCTATGTCTTATGAATCTTCCTTCACTCTGAGGTCAGCACTGAATCTGCCATGGAAAGGATGCTGGCACATGTTTGCACAACTAAGTCGGTGCAGAAGCTAGTCGTGCTGGGGCCACTGGGGTTTCGTGGAATGAGTCACAGTTTAGATTGTCTGCTATTTTTATAAGATACTTTCAGTGGCTTAATAAGCGACTCTTCCTGACAAGGCGCTTGGGAACTGTTCACAAATGACAGAATGATATTAAAATCAAATCAGGTTCAGAGGTAAACATACAAATCTCTCCTCCACCTACATTATATGCTTCCTTCAAATCAGGAAAGATAATTGTTTTAGTTTATACAGATGTTGTGTATTTATGCACATGCATTTTTCTCTTTCAAAGACATCTCATGAAAATCTCATTCTTATATTAGATAAGGGACCATGTTGCATTTTTTTTTAATGGATTTCCTAGATCTTATTGATTTGATCTCCAGTTCCATTTAGAACATCGAAGTAATCATTTTTTCAGTGGAAGCCTAGCAGCTCAAAGCGTGGCTGCAGTTTTTCAAAGTGCCTCCTAGAGGATCCCTTATAGAATTAAATCCAGGGGAGAGGAGAGTTCATGAAAAGACAGACGTCCCCAGGCCTACTGAGACAGTGTTTGTCCAAGGAAAAGGACAAATCGGTGTATGAGACGGACATGCATTAAGTTTAGGTGAACCCTGCCACATCATCGGGTTTTCTACGGCACCCGCTTTCCAGATGCTGCTCTTCTATAAATTAATGAGTAGGACACACAGGACCTGGGGGGGCCAGATGTGCAGCTGTGCTCTGCCCTAGGCTCACCCAAGAGGGCCAGTGGGGGCCTACTCTCCCTCACCCCGCCAACAGTCCCAGCCTCAGGCTTGCCCAGCATCAGGGGCCAGGGGTAGTGGGGTCACCTTTTATAAGTTGCACACAGACACCTTATAGGCCAGGAGCGGGCCCAAGGAAAACCAAGGCAAAAATTCCAAAGACTGGGCATGCCCCTAACCTTGATTACCCCTTACTTCCTCTAAAACTTCAGACAGCCTCATCTTTTTCTCCTTATTTGCCCCAAGAACTCTTAGGAAAACATTAGGTCTGTAAGAATCCCCTCGGCTGGCAAGGTTGACTCAGTCCTGTTCCCTTTAGGTGATGGCTTCACCACCTCTTTGCCTTTACCTCCGTCTCTCCCTGGCCAGCAGGGCCTGCTCCTCAGCAGATCTGTGGAAGTGGACCTCATGCCATGCAGAAGCACACACAGGCCAGCTCCTCAAGGTTATGAGGCCACAAACCAAGAGAGAGGAAAAGGAGAAGTGGTGGAAATTAGTTTCTTTCAGGCTTGTCTGATTTCCTCTGGGCCCTGAGTATGGCAGGCCATAAATAGATAATCAAAGATTTTTACTTTCCCAGGTAGGAATTATGTAATCAGAGGCTCCTTCTTCCTTTGTCTTTTTGAAACTTCACTGGAAGGAAATTCTCCTTGTGTTCTCAATTACACTGAGCATTTTCTTTCTGCTTTTACTTGGGAATCTTCATGCTCAAGTCAACAGCCTTCGAAGTTAATCAGATAATTCTGTGTAAATTAATACACACACCGGAGTTTTAAAAATACATCCTCTATGATCCTTTGGAGTGAGTGTGTGTGACAAGAGACATCATATAATGACATGGGCACTCATTTAAAAAATAGCCCTGTTTCCTTGTTCTCCTAGGCCCACTGAACCCAGGAGCATGGCTCCCACTCCCCTCCACCTAGAGCTTCGAAGATGAAAAGTGCTCTGTCCACAGCCCCGTTCTGAGAAGAGGAACTCTTCAACTGCTGTTAACGGAGGGAATAATCTCCTGCCTTAGTGTATGAATCCTGATTCTCCGAGGTTTCAGCCTCCATGGCTAATGACTCCCAACTCTGCTCTTAGCTCCTGAGCCCAGACTCTGTTATCCACCCTCCTCCTAGACATCCGCACACATGTATCCCCCAGGCATTTCCAGCTCCACGTGTCCAAGTTGAACGTCCCACCCTCAGCTCGCCAGCCCTGCTCTTCCTCTGGCATTTCCCGCAGCACTGCGAATAGGCCCAGTCATCCAAGCGAGAAATCCAATGCCCCTGGTCAGGGGTCCTTTCCTGGGAAACAAGGCTGGCTCCCATTGTGCCCACGGCCCCCAACGCAGTTCCGCTCACATCAGGGAAGCCTGGCTCAGCTGGGATGCCTCCTTCTTCTTGCTTGTCTCCACATCCGGGCAGTTTTGTTCCCCCATTCGCTCTGCCCTGCTCTAGTTCAGGCCTGAGCTTCTTCCCCAGGCCTCTGCAAACACTGGTGGAAGTGCAGTTCAGAGCTTGGGCCCCTAGGACAAGACTGCCTGGGTTCAAATCTTACTTCCATCCCGGCTTGCTCTGCAATTAATCCTTCTGTGCATCAGTTCCCTTATCCTTAAATAAGAACAATGCCTCCTGGGCATTTGGAAGGAACAGTCTTTGGCAGGCTTTTCCTATAAAGGGCCAGGTTGTAAATATTTCAAGTTTTGTAGGTCAAGATACAAAATTAAGACTATTATGTAGGTACTTACATAACTAGAGAGAGAATTAATTTCCACAACGTATTTTATTGACAAATTTCAAAATATAATAATAATCAAGGACAATTTTTTTGTAACACGGGTCTGCTAGTAACAATGGAGTGCTCTTTTCGGGGGAAGGATAACATTTTGCTTAATTAGGGTTCAAAATCATCATCAAAATCAGTTACAAATGTTCATCTGTAGAAATCATTCTTGGCTTGTGGGCCATACAAAAACAGGTGGTGGCCTGGAATTGGCCCACAAGCCATAGTTTGCCCACTCCAGGGAGAGAATAAAAGAGAGAGTGCAGAAGACATCATGTGCATTCAAAGGGTGTCAGTTAGTATAATTATTTCTTCCCATCCTACCCACTGTCACGCGTGGCTTCAACTATGTAAATACTTAGGGTTTCATTGAGCTGTTTCATCCCTCTGAGCCTTTGCTCATGTTGTGCCATAGCCTTCACCTCCTTAGGGATGCTCCCTTGCCCTGCTCCCTTCGTCCATATCTTCCCATCCCTGAAAGATTCGCCCACTCCTGCCTCCAGGCCCTGCTCAGCATGACCCGCTCCCTGCTGCTGCAGCCTTCGATCGTTGATGTCTTCCCTTTTAAACTGAGTAGAAACCATGCATCACTCACAAGGTCTCCAGCTCTGTGCCCGATCATATTACATGCTCAATAAATATGGCTGAATATATAAATGATCCTCCTACATCAAAAAGGAAGACTCAGCAGAAACCTACCATGATCGCCCCAGTTCCCAGAGAGCTCTCGGTTCTCTGAGAACCTAAAGCATTTGGCCCTCATTGATTTTCTTATAGGAGACACATTCTAGAATCATGGCTAAGTGCCTTAGCTCTGGGTACAAATCCCACCTCTACCACTTCCTAACTTTGTGGTTTTATACAAGTTACTTACTTAACTTCTCTGAGCCTCCATTTCCTTGTCGGTAAAATGGGGATAATGGCGGTCCCCACCTCACATGTCGTTTGTGGATCAGATGAGATGAAGCATGTACAGCACTCAGCTGTGAATAGTTTATAAATGTTTGCTGCTTTGCTCTCATTTATAAGAGTAATGACCAAGTTTTAAGCTCTTTCATTAATATGTTTATTCCTCACAACGACCGTATGAGGTACATACTATTGTTAACCCCAGATGAGAAAACTGAGGCACAGAGAGGTTGCATAACTTGCCTAAGGTCCAAGAGTCAGTGTGGCAGAGCCAAGATTCAAACCCAGGCCATCTGGCTCCAAAGCTGTGCTGCTAACCTTGGGCATAGATGGGCCTCTTCTGCGAGATTTCAGACTCTGAGGGTCAGGAAAGCGTTCCAGAATTCTTTGTACCTTTCCCAGCTGTGGCACAGCACCTTGCACATGGTGAAGGTCAATACACACCTGCTCATTCATTTATCCATCCTTCCTCCACCATGATCCAGAGGGATCTAAAGAGTGTTCTAGAGACATTTCCTCCTGTCCAGGCCTGATCATCAGTGAGCACCTTTGTGCCTTAGAGGAGGGGACAGGAAGGCAAGCAGAAAAGAAGAGTAAGGTAAGAAAGGAGTGCAGGTGGGGTGTCTGGGGAGAATTTCCTCTGCTCAGAAAGCGACAGTAGAATTTGACTCCATGTTGGAGAACTCCTACTGCCTGTGGTCCCATGGGATACCAACCCCACCATCAGCGACTGGCTTTGAGGACACCAGCCAACGTAGGCTGACTCTACTGTCTGTAACGTGACTGTCTCTCTTAATCAAAGTGATGTCATCCTCTGATTTCAGAAAGTGAGGGATGGCAAAATTAATGACGGCTCGAGCGGGCTTCTAACGGCCGACGGCTGCCGAGCGGCTGTGGGCTGCCGAGCCGGCTGCATGTCAATGGTGCGCGCAGGGATTTCTTCGCTAACAAGAGTGCCATAAGTCTTAATTACCCAGAACCAAGGCCTCACCTTGCTGCGTGTCCCCTGGGAGCTCCCTGTGAAGTCAGTGGGAGCTTTGCCTGCAGTTCAGCCCGGAAAAAACTTGCCTGCAAATGTTTGCAAATTACCTTGAGCACCTCGGATGGAAACAGGAGAGAATCATTTATTTTTAGAATGTTGGCATAGCCCCTTCTCTGCCTTGCTTGACACATACCTCAATGTTACCCAAATCCCACTCCCTTTACCTCTGGGTAATTCTGAACTGTGGGCGTCTTTCCTTCGTGGTTGATGGATACAGCTCTTAGATTTTGCCCTCAGCCGAACCGCGGGTAATGTCATGTTGTTCTCATCCCTTACTTAGCGGCTCTCTCTAGAAAGCCTAATGCTTCTTCCATTACAAGAACTGCTTTGCCCTTTCCTTTATGGCCATGGCATGCCGCAGTCTCCCCCCTCTCGGAGGATGCTGAGAGCCTGCTCCACTGCTCTTGCTTCCCTCTGGAAGTAGATGTGCTTGGTGCCTCACCCACATCCCCTTGACTGGGGGCTGCTAACAGCTCACAGCTGCTCCCTTCTCCTGGGACTTGCCCTGGGAGAAAAACACTAAGCTTTTTCACCAGGAGAAAATGCCTTCCCTCTGGGGACAGCCCACAGCCACGGCTGCCTGATAATGAGGCACAAGGCTGGCCCTCACGCTCCAGAGCTCCCCATGGGATCAGCCTGAGGCTAGACCACATCTTAGCCTGTCATGTTCAAGTCTCCCTCAAACCCTTCCATGTTTCACCTGAGGGCGTTCCCTCAAGAAACTCCTTGCCCAAGAAGCCTGTCTCAGGCTCAGCTTCTCTGCAACCCAACCTAAGATGCCTAAGTTACCCTTCCCGCTGCAACCTACCTGACCCTGTCTCTGCCTTTCTTAATGCCTTCTGTGCCCTCCGTTGGCCAAACTACATAGCATGGGGCTGAATCCCACAGACCTGGGGCTGCCTCCCCTCCTGCCTCACCTCCCATCAGGCCTACCGCCTCACCCAGCCCTCACTTCCTCCAGAGAGGCCCACCCAGACCCAACCCTCATTCCAACCCTAAGGGAATAAATCAACATTTGCCTACTTGTGGTTTACCCAAAGTTTTCCTAAATAGAAAATTCACTAGAAATGTATTAAAAGAATTAACTGGGTTTTTTTTTTAAAGATTGGCACCTGAGCTAACATCTGTTGCCAATCTTCTTTTTTTCTTCTTCTTCTTCTCCCCAAAGCCCCCTAGTACATAGTTGTACATTCTAGTTGTGAGTGCCTCTGGTTGTGCTATGTGGGACACCGCCTCAACGTGGCCTGGTGAGCAGTGCCATGTCCACGCCCAGGATCCCAACCGGCGAAACCTGCGACTGCTGAAGCAGAGCACGTGAACTTAACCACTCAGCCACAGGGCCGGCCCCCAATTAAATGGTTTTAATACATATGTCAGTGCAGTCTGGTTAGGCATCTATTTATAATCAATGTATGAATGGACCGGATGTTTCAGAAGGTTTCCATTTCTTTTGGACCCTTAGCTTGGCAAAGACTTTCCAGCCCCACCGAGCTCTGACTCTCAGCAGTCCTCTGCTGAATCTTAAAACCCCTTGCCTTTCCTCTGCCTGCTCCCAATGACAACATAACAAACAAATAAGGAAGAAAAAAATTTAAAAAAACTGTGCAATTCCAAGTGCCAGAATAGCTCTGCTCATCTGAAGAAGAAACCCTTGAACATCAATGAACCGTGCTTTAAAATTTGCCGTTTCACTGCCGACTTTTCAGAAAAGCATCACCCTGTGAAGATGTCGCTCTTGGATGCATACCTGGTGACTGCCGGCATCGTCCAGTGTTCTGAGTTGCCTGCTTCTCCCTTTGGAACTGGGTGTATTAGTCAGCAGAGGAGCATTCATTCTTGGAGTGACCACAGATTGAAACACAAGCAGCATTAACAAATGATCGGTGGTGGATATGCAACAGGAGCAAGGGCCAACATTAAAACAGCCCTCTCTTTTGGCCGATACCTCATCTTGTCCAAAATTCTTAGAAATATTAATCCTCCTGGAATGCTTAGCAATGCATATACAGTAAAATTCTTGAGGAAGCTAATAATTATCTGTTGTTAGCAAGATCAATTTACTGCAGTCTTTCACTGCAGGGACAGAAAAATATTGTGACTTGCTCTGCTAAGCAAAACACAGTGGCAGGATAAATTAGGACATTTAAACTCACAATAATAAAGACACATGGCTATAGTTCCCCTCTACATATAATTGATAAAATTAACAGAAAATAGATACAATGGTAATAGAAGAATGTGTTATGAACGGTTGGCTGAGACACAAAGGGACAAACTTTCTTCCATCGCTTATGTTGTAATAGCTAATATTTATTAGGCACCCACTGTGCATGGCACAGCTCTTATCAGAGACATGGATAATAATAAATTACTACCTGTCAGCCACGTGCACAGTAGCTTCATTATGTGACTAGGCGGCACTCTTATTAAGTCTTTGGAATCTATTAAAAGTCTCATTTTGAAACAATGAACCAAGAGGTACAAATTTATGAATTGTGGATCCCCGGTATTAACGCAAAGACTCAGCCTTGGAGTGAGAAAAAAAACTTCTTAAGAAAAAGAAATTAATTTCTGCCAAGGAAAATCTAAGAACATAAGTTAGCAGGCCCAGCCAGATGCCTCTGGCTGTGCTGTAACAGAGATGAGGCAAATATCTAATTTCACAGGAAAAAATTTATAGACTAGACTTTGAATCAGGCGGATCCCAAAGACCTTCCCTGCCGGGTTCTCAATCAAATGGCGTAATAAACAGCAATGTCCTCACACGTCTGAAATGCCCCTCTGATCTCTGGGTCTGATCAGTGTCGTGCTGTCACCTCTGTTGATGTATCCTGACATAACTTGCCCTTTACATTCACTGATTTAATTTGCTCAGTAAACGTGGTAGATTGTTTGCAAAGTTGGCTGTAATAAATCCTCACATCAGTGCGTGAACATCGTTGCACCACCTCCTGTCAAGTGGTGGAGTCCATTCTTCCTCACCTTGAACAGAAGAAGACTTTGTAACTTGCTTTGGCTGAAGGAATACAATGGAAGTGATGTTTTGGTGACTTCTGAGTCTAGGTCTTAAGGGGCCTAGCAGCTGCTACTCTCACCTTCTTAGAACACAGGACCACCAGGTAAAGAGGCCCAGGCTAGCTATCTTGAAGATGAGAACTCGAATGGAGAGAGAAGCCCAGGCAACAGCCAGTACCAATGGCCAGATGTGTGTGAAGCCATCTTGGACCATCTCGTCCCAGTGCTACGGACAGAATGCTCGCTTTTCCCCCAAATTCACATGTGGAAGCCATAATGGCCCGTGTAATGGTATTTGGAGTTGGGACCTTTGGGAGGTAATTAGGTCATGAGAGAGGAGCCCTCCTGAACGGGATTGATGCCTTTTTAAGGGGAGGCGGGAGAGAGATGATCTTTGTCCTTGTTATGAGATAACACAGCAAGAAGGTGTCCCTCCACAAACCAGGAAGAGCCCTCAGGGAATCAGCTGGCACCTTCACCTTCGACTTCGCAGCTTTCAGAACTGGGAGGAGTAAATTTCTTTTGTGTAAGCCACAAAGACTATGGTATTTTTGTTACAGCAGCTCCAACTAAGTAAGACACCCAGTTCTACCAGGTGACAGAAGCTGCATAAATGACTCCAGAAGCCATCAAGCAGGAGAACCACCCTGTTGAGCCCAGCATGAACTGCTGACCCTCAGAGTCACAAATAAATAAATAGTTATAGTTTCCAGCCAGTAAATTTTGAAGCAGTTTGTTAGACAGCAAAAGGTAACTAGACAATGAACAATGTGACAGACTTTAACATTTTATGCATTATTTTAAATGAGTGTTTCTGTCCTCCTTGTACAGAACAGCAGCTCCAGAACCACACCAGCTTGTGAAGCTAGGGAATCTCTTCTTGTCCCTTCTCCATGGTCTCTGAATGCAATTCACACTGAGACTGAACTGTCCAAACTTCCTTTGCCGAGGGATTAATAAAAATCGAAGGCTCAGAAATGCGTGTCTGCTGGTTGACTGACTGTTTACAGTGAGGTGAGTTGAAAGGCAGCCCCAGGCATTCTCCTCTGTCTGGGTGAGGCATTGCCAGCCTTGCTACGATCGTGGCACCATCGCCAAGGGACCCTTGGATGGTGTATCAGTCAGGGTTCTTCAGAGAAACAGAATCAATGGAGAAACAGAACCAACTCTATCTATATGAGATATAGATACAGATATAGATCCCTAGCCATAGATAGATTGATCTATCTATCTATCAAGCGATCGATCTATCTATCTATAGAGAGAGAATTTGTTTTAAGGATTGGCTCAGTTGATTGTGGAGGCTTGGCCAGTCCAAAATCTGCAGGGTAGGCCGGGAGGCTAGACATCCAGGGAAGGATTTCACTTTGAGTACCAAGGTCGCCTGCAGGCAGGATACTCTCTTCTTCGAGGGACGTGAATCTTTTTCTGTTAAGGCCTTTCACTGATCGGATGGAGGGTAATCTGCTTTACTCAAAATCGACTGATTTAAATGTCCATCTTGTCTAAAAAATACCTTCACAGAAATATCTGGAATAATGTTTGACCAAATAGCTGGGTGTGATAGCCTAACCAAGTTGACACATAAAATTAACCATCACAGATGGTGTGGTGAGTTGAATTCCGCCTCCCAAAGAAAGAAATGCTAAAGTTCTAACCCCCAGTAACTCAGAATGTGACCTTATTTGGAAATAGGGTCTTAACAGAGAAAATCAAGGTAAAATGAGGTCATTAGGGTGGACCCTGATCCAAGATAACCGGTGTCCTTATAAAAAGGAGAAATTTGGACACATGCACAGACATGCACAGAGGAAACACTGTGTGAAGACTCACAGGGAGAAGATGGCCATGTGACCGCAGTGATGCATCTAAGGAGCCAAGGAAGACCTAGGACCACTCCAAACAGCAGAAGCTGGAAGAGGCCAGCAAGGGTTTTCCCCTAGAGCTGTCAGAGAGCACGGCCCTGCCGACACCCTCATCTTGGACTTCTAGCCTCCAGAACTGTGAGACAATAAATTTCTGTTTTAAGCCACTCAGTTTTTGGTACTTTGTTATGGCAGCCATAAGAAACTAGTACGGATGGAGAGCTGGGAAGACTGCTTCCAGATCTGAGAGGCCACAGTCGCCTGTACCTCTGGGGGAGGGGAGCTGAGTAGGACCCTAAAGTGTGTCTTCTCTCCTTGAGCTCCTGTCCTCACAACAGGGGACTTTGACAAGCCCTGGGAGAGAGAGAGACCCGAAAGGAGTCTGGAAATCTTCTCTCTTCCCACAAAGAGACAGAGACGCTCCCGAGATTTCTGCATGACCAACTTGGGTGGGAGTATGGGGCTTCTTGGCTGTGATTTTGGGGGCTTAGGGAGCTCTGTCCAGGCATCTGAGAAAGGATTTAGCATGTCCAGCATGGCTCTTCCAGCACGTGGCTGCTGGTCCTGCGTCTGGTTATGCCAGCTCACCCTATGGTGGAGAGAAATCCAGTGGAAGTCATGCTGAGCCCCAAAATGGGCAACAGCCTGGGTTCTGGAGTCAGACAAACCTGGCTAAGTCCGGATCTTCCAATTACCAGTTAATAATAATGGCTCTTTTTGTTGATTGCTGAGCACTTCAGGTACGTTATCTCATTGACTCATTCTAACAACTCATTTTGCAGATAAGAGACTGAAGCTCAGAGAGGTTAACTCACCTTCCCGAAGTCACACAGCCAGCTTGCATTCTAATCCAGGCAGCCTGCCTCTTAAGCTCCAAAGCCTAAATTCTTAACCACCATGTGTGATAAAAACATACTAGGGTCACAGTGGCCCGAATTAAATCCCTGTACTTAAGCCAACCAGCAGGCCTGAAGTACCCACTCTGTTAGATGTTCTTAAAGGTACAAAAATTAAAAAAGCAAGATCAGGGCCTTGGCCTTGAGGTGTTGACAGGAGGACACCCACTTGGGAATAATTATAACTGACGTCGCCCCCTTCTTTAGGAGTATGGAAAGTTTAAGTTCACCCACCAGGAAAGCTTTAGCTACTGGAGGCTTCACCACGTTTAATGAGCTGGCGTTTTGCCCTCCAAACACATCAGCAGGTAAATGCTTCTCATTAGGAGAGTTTTGTTGGCATTTCAAGACAGTCAAAAACTAAAGGAAGTTGGGCCAGCGCTTAAAACGCTAGGCAGCAGGTCCAAATTATAGCTAATCACCAGCCTAGGCAAATTGCCGATTAATTCAGACTTTATTTCCCCTCGTTTCACGTCTTCCACATCCACATGCTGCCTACCTGGTTTGCAGGAATAGGCCAGGGTGAGGCTGGTCAGATAAAAGTGCTGTCACATTCGCCAACCAAAGGCTGTTTGCCTTCACCGTGTTATTAAGACAGTACATCAAGAAATGGCTTCAACATTAATCACAAAGGAGGAATCATGAGACTCGTATCCTGGAAACAGAACAGCTTTGGAATATAAAGGAAGGGCAACGCCCTGGTATTAGCTGTCCGCTGCCTCCAGGTACTTGCCTGTCCAAAGCAAACTGTGGGCCCCGGGCGGCTATTGGGGCCAGAGTGTGTTCAGAGGTCGGGGGAGGGGAGCATTGTCACACAGGGTGCGTCCTGGTGCTGGGCAATCCGGGACCCAGTGGCTTCACTCATCTGTGGCAAAGAGGACAGGGAGCTGTGGCTGGGAGGAGCCCACCTGCGAGGTGTGATGGATGGGAGGGTGGGACTACAGGCTGCAGAGGCTTGTCCCAGGTTGTCAGCTGGGGGGGCCACAGGCAGAGCAATCTTAGACGAGATTCAAATCAACACAGGTTCCTGGAGGTGGAACCCTGGATGACTGTATTTGTTTTCTAGGGCTGTCGTAAACTGAGTCACTCAAAACAACCGAAATGTCTTGTCTCGCAGTTCTGGAGGCTGCAAGTCCTTCATCAGGGTGTTGGCCGGGCTGGTTCCTTCTGAGAGCTCGTAGGGAGAATCTGTTCCATGCCTCTCCCCCAGCATCTGGTGACAGAGGACAATCCTTGGTGTTCCTTGGCTTGGAGAAGCATCACTCCAATCTCTGCCTCCAGCTTCACGTGGCCTTTTCCCGTGGGTCCGGGGGTCGAAATTTCCCTCTTAGAAGGACCCAGTCATACTGGACTAGGGCCTGCCCTAATGGCCTCGCCTTATCTTGATCACATGGGCATAGACCCTATTCCCAAAGAATCTCACATTCACGCATACCAGGGGTTAGGAGTTCAAGATATCTTTTTGGGGGATACCATTCAACCCATAATAATGACCCTAATGGGGGTCTCCCCCACTGGACTCTGAGCAGCTGAAGGATGTGCGCTATCATATTCATTTCATATCCCCGGTGCCTAACATCCTGCCTGGCAAATACCTAATGTCCAATAAGTGCTGAATGAATGAGTAAGCAATAGTCTTAGATCTATAGGATGGAAGTTGTTTCACCAAAAACTCGAGTGCAAAATCCTGGCTCCACTACTTCCTCCCTGAGTGGTCTTTGGCAAGTCTCTTAGTTCCTCCAAGCCTCAGTTTGCTGCTCTCTAAAATGGTTATAATACAACCTGCAGGATGGCAGTGAGAAGCCAAGAAGATGGGGTATATAAAATGTGTGGCACTCGCAGGTGTTCAGTAAATGGGAGGCATTATTTTTCAAGGAAATTCCAAATTTAACCTGTATGCTCCCCTCTATTTCACGTTTCTTTACACCGCATTCATTCCATCTTAGCCATTCTTCAAGAATTTTCAAAAAACCTAACACAGAGGCTAATCTAACTGTATCAGTCAAGATGTTTGCAGTTGACAGTGACAGAAACCCCCTTCAAAAAAAGCGACATGGAGGGTATTTATTAGTTCACATAGTGCCCTACTGTAGTGGCTTCAGGCAGGGCTTGATCCAGAGTGCCAACAATGCTATCAGAGATCTCTTGTCTCTCAGGCAGGCCCTGGCCTCATGGCTACCAGCAGCCTCAGACTGAAATCCTCCCAGCCTGACAACCCCAGGGGAAAGACACGGCCTTTGCCAATTGCAATATCAGGAAAGATCCAAGGAAGCTCCTGATTTGCTTGATTTGCCTCATGTGCCTATGGGAACCAGCCACAATGGCCAAGAGTGTAGGATACAAGGATTGGCCAGTTCTGGGTCCTGCGAATGGGCAAAGTGAGCTCCCCTTGCATGGGTTCCCTACAGAGAAGACGGCTCTGCTTCAGAAAGGGGTGCTGGGGAGATTCAAATGAGAAACGCCCCTGACCTTTGAAACTGCCCATAGGAGAGAAGACCAAAGATGAGGCTAAAAACAATCAGGTTTCTGGGAAAAGTACTCAGTGTCATTTTTGAAAAAATAAAAACAGAAACCATGGTTTACATGTAATAACTTGTTACTTCAGAATAAAAATGCCCCGCTGCCTTTGCGGTCCTCACAGCAGCACCAATTCCTGCTGGGGATGAGGAGGGCCGGTGGGAGTGACAGAGACTGAGGAGGCCTGTCAGTTTACCAGCTGTGAACACTGGGAGGTCCCTGCCTGCAGGGCGATGGGAACATGGCAGGTGACATAACTCCTAAAGGATGTACCCAGACCCCACCAGGCCAAGGATGTGGGGTAGGGCGGGGGTCGGAGGAAGTTCTGTGGCAGGGATGACGGTGTGCTCCCGCATCCCTGTGCTAAGGACAATTCCGTCCGAATCCACTTATGGTCATCTCACAGTGGTTTTTTTAATTGTTAGTTTTATGCTAGACTCTGGCTTCATGAAAAATACCTCATAACTCAGATTTAATTTCCCTGGGGGAGACAGATTTGAAATAACCATCAAATCTTTTTTTTCCCTCTTTTTTGCTACTCTAAGCAAATTGGGAAATATTTTCCCCTGAGGGACGAAAGTCTGGTCACTCATGCAATAATCATTTTAATGCTATTTGCCTTTTTTTTTTTAACTTCCCAACAGTGTTTGCATATAGCCCGCCCCATTCTATATTTCTACATTCTTTTCACGAGTAAGGCAGACAACATGTCCATGTTTAGGGTTTTGTGAGAAATTCAACTTAACTTCATGGCCAGAGGTAGATGCAAGTCAAAGACTCACTGATGAAATCAGGCCGCATTTGGAAAATGCTTGACAATTTATCTTGCACCCTCGTTTCATTATCACACAACTACAAGAGGCATTATCCTCAATTTATAGGTGAGAAAGCTGAGACCCAGAGGGTGAACTGGCTTAAGGTGTCACACATAAACTTGAACCCAAATGATAACAGCTGACATTTACTGTTCTAGACACTTTGCACCCAGTGTCTCATTCAATCCTCTCAAAAACTTGTGAGGTAGGTTGTGGTTCTCGTCCCCATCTTACGGATAAAGAAATTGAGGCTCAGAGGGTTAAACAGGTTGGTAAAGGTTCAAACCCAGACCTATCTCCCTGCAAAGCTACATCTAAATGCAGAACTGGGCTCTGAAAGCCCAGAATAGGAGGAGGTGAGAAGCGATGGGTGGACCTGGGACCCCTGAGGAGAGAGCAGTCAGAGCCGCCGCACTGCTCAGCTGAGCAGCCTGCCTCTGCCAAGCCAGCTCCGTGGATGAACTATTTCCAGACCTTGGTCGTTCAGAAGCGCTGAGGCAGCCTGGATGGAAGCCCAAGTGCTGAGAAGAAGGTGCTCCAACTACATAACACCAGAGTGAGCTGCTGCCTGCTGGCCTAACCTGCTGAAAACTTGGAGACTCCCGCATCCACAAAGATGCCGTAGACAGAAAGAAATATCTGGGAAGCAGAGAGCTCCCAGCAAGTCCGACGACCCATTGCAGCCAACAATCCTGCTGCGTGCCCATCCTCCCACATGGGGTGTAGATGGATGCAAAGATGGGGGAGGCAGCTGGCATACCGCCAATTCCTGCACTAGCAGCTAAGGGCGGCCCTGGCATTTCTTACCAGCCCTAAACACCCTCCTCCAAACTCCTCTAATTGCCAAAGCTCCCACTTACAAGTTAATCAAAATCCTGACCATGAATGAGATAGAAAAAAAATACTCCAATAATTAAAATCTCAAAAGATGCCAGTGTTAACAGTCTGTAGATGCTTTCTTGCTACACTAAGGCTCTCAGGAGACCAGACACCAGCCGTCGGTGTAAGAGTCACAGGTGCTATGATTAGGCCTGAGAGCATGTAGCGGTGACAAGTGGAATGAGGAAGATTCTTAATCCTCCTGAAATCCCAGGCTTTGTAGGTATTTAAATAATTAATGAGAAGCGAGGCTTTCCCTGCCTTCTCAAGAGAGGTTAAATTTCCAAGTGTCTTCCCCAGGCGACAGTGTCTCTAAAATGCCTGGAGGATATAAGAAACTAATATGCTCAGTCATTCAACAAATATTGAGTACCTACTTGTCCCAAGTATTCTGGAAGGTGCTGGAGACACAGGGGAGGTCCATCAAGTTCCTGCGTCATGGTACATACACTCTCAAGTGAGGGGCTGTGATAAACGTGTAAGTATCTAGGTTGAAGGTGCTATAGAAAAGAAAATAAGAGCACCAATGGAGAGCGAAGTGGGGTGAGGACTGCTTTAGACTGTGTGGTCAAGGAAGTGGTACTTGAACTGATACTTGAAAGAAGAAAGAAAGCCAGGCCAAGAGCTGGGCATTTCAGGCAGAGGGCACTGCAGGTGCAAAGGTCCAGAGGACAGATCAGACTTGATGTGTGTTCTTGAACAAACAGGAAACTTGTATGGCAGGACCTGTTAATATGGGACAATGGAGGGAGATGAGGTAGAAGAGATAGGCAGGGACAAATGATCTAGAACCTTCTAAGGATCTGCTCAGATGTTTGGAGATTATTCTAAGTGATTAGGAAGACTTTGGGGTGTTTTAGCAAGGGCTCATACAATCTGATTTCAATTTCTAAAAGCTAGCCCTGGCTGCTGTGTGGAGAATGATTACGGGGGTGGGTGGTAGGGAGTTGAAGGAACCAAAATATTCAGTAGGACCAATCATCCATGTTAGATAATTTTGCCTCTGATACAGTAAGGCCTAGTGACATGCTTGCTTGACCTTACTACACAAGTAGTTGGTATTTTCAATGGATTTCTCCATTGTTTGGCAGAGTTTTGTCATTTCAGACTTTTTAGGTTCTTAAGGCAGTGTTTTTATAAGCTGATCTACCCTTTTATCCTTCTAGGGACTCATGGGTGGACCTGGAGCAAGGAGAATTGACTGTAAACAATTAAGAATGTCAGCTGACCAGGCTGATCAGTGAATGTCTTTGTAATTCCCAAGGTGCATAGAGCTGTATAATTGTGTCCTTGAAGTACTGAAGACACTTGCTCTGTCATGTCCAAGAACATAGCCACCATTTCACGGTGATGTCCTTTGGGAATGGTGCACACGTG